TTGTGTGATAAGACTCTGTTAGACTATAACATTTACAAGGAAACTTAGCTTTGTGTGTGTGTGTGTGTGTGTGTGTGTGTGTGTGTGTGTGTGTGTGACCTTGGTCATTCCATTTCCTCTCAAAGAGGGAAAGAGAAGAAGCAACAGTGTTAGCAAATGCTACTGGAGTGCCCTACACACGCATTTATAGGAATTTTGTGTTAAAATTTTGTGACTAGTAGCTTGAAAGAGGTAAACCCATAGAGCAAAGTAAATATGGTCAGTTTGAAAAACATATCTGTTTTGTAGCTTCTTCCTTGCATTTGTTATGGGGTTCTAATGAAAGCATACTGGGCCAGGGAAAAAGACTGCATTTTGTTTTGTGATACTTGTTATGTTCGGTTTTCATTTCTTTTTTTCTTTTTTTTTTCGTTTTGGTTTGGTTTGGTTTTTTGACAGGGTTTCCCTAGTTCCAGCCTATCTGGAATGCACTATATAGACCAGGCTAGCCTCCGTCTCACAGAGATCCACCTGCCTCTGCCTCCTGAGGACTGAAATTAAAGGTGTGTGCCACCACGCCCAGCATTGTTTTCATTTCTGCTTATATGGGTACTTAATAGTTATTGCCTATGATTTTCAAGAAATTTAGCCTAACATGGTGACACCTGTAATCCCAGCACTTGCGGTAGGAGGATCAAGAGTTCATGGTCATTCCTAGCTATGTAGCAAGTTCAAGATGAAGCCCTGTCTTGAAATAAAAAAATAAAGTCCATTTTCTTGATTGTTTTTAAAAAAGTGTTTTCTTGATATTTCCCTTAAAAATAGTATAAGCTACTTATGCTGGTAAAATATGCTGAAACAGAGAATATTCCCAAGAAAATATTTGGATTTAAAACATGGATGGGTTTAAACATATTCTGTATTTCTGAAACTCACATGAATGATAGTCTTCCTTGGCTTGTTTTGCTTTGTCTTCTAGGATAAGGTTCCCAATGACCAGTATCAGGAGAGGACAGCAATGGACCTGGCAGCTGAGCAGCTGCGCCTTTGGCCTACTCTGAGCAAATCAACTCAGCAGGAGCTGGTGCAGCATGAAGAAAGCACTGTCTTCAGTCAGGCTATTCACTTTGCAAACCTCATGGTTAACTTACTAGTTCCACTAGACACAAGTAAAAACAAGCTTCTGAGAGCATCAGCACCAGGAGACTGGGAAAGTGGGAGCAACAGCATTGTCACAAACAGGTACTGAAAGGGAACACACAGAGCCCCTCCTTCCCTTCTCAAGTTAACTGCACCTTAGCAGAAGCATCTTGAACAAAGATTACTGTGCATATTTCAAATTTGACTATTTCCCTACCTCAAACTAGCTCAGCCATTCTGTGTTAAACAACCTTCACTTCATCCTACTGTTGTTAACCTCCACACACCCTCTCTTGAGTCTTTCATGACCTAATCTTTCAAAAGTCTGACAAACTACTGATGCCGCCCTTCAGTTACATTCTGCTAAAGCAATTTTTAGAAAGCGCTCTCAAAAATTACTGGCGAATAATTTCTTGACCTCAACTTACCTTTAGAATTTGTCTGATCATATTGTTTCAGTTATTTTCATCGTTGTGAGCAAAATAACTGACAGAAATAACTTTGAAGGAGGAAAATTTTATTTTGAGGTTTTTCAGAAATTTCAGTCCTTGGTTATTTGACCTAATGAGCTTGGGCAAAAAATCGTGGAAGCAAAAGTTTGTGATAGAGAAACTTCTCTACCTTATTGTGTAAAAGAAGTAGCGAGGAAGTATTACAGAAAGGGGCCAGAGAAAGATACAATTCCACCGATCCATCCCTGGTGATACACTTCCTCCAGCTAGGCCCTGCCTTCCGCTGTACCACCTCTCTGTAGCATTGCCATGTTATAAATAGGTCAGAGCCACCCTCATCCAGTTACTTCTCTAAAACCCATCAGCTGACAACCAAGTTCTCAACACATAAGTCTTCGAAGTTTATTTCCTATTCAAACCATAGCACATGTCCTCAACCTAGCTTTCTTCACAACCCTCCAATGACTTCTCATACCCTCAGAATAAAATACACAACCTTTCCCATTGCTGACAAGGCCTAATAGAAGCGATACACTGGCTAGAACTCTGACCTTACATCATTCTGTTAACCAGCTGGCCTGCCTGCTAACACTAATTCTCTGACACTCTGGCATAGTACTGCCTTACAGCCTTTGTGCTTATTCCCTCAATCTAGAATACCCTGTCTTCAGTAGTCATAAGAATCACTCCCTTGCTTTAGATTTCTGCACAAATGTCACGTATTAGATAGGTGTTTCTCTTTCAAGTACCACTGTGTCTATACCCCTTTTTATAGCATTTTCTATAACCTGATTTCTTCCCTTTTTCTTTTCTCTTTTGGTTTTAGTTTCGGTTTATGGTGATTTTGGGTTGGGTTGGGCTGGGTTTTTTTTCCAGACAGTATCTCTAGGCTGTCTTCAAGCTTATAATCTTTTTACCTCAGCCTTCGAGTACTTAGGTTATAGGTTTGTACCAAAGTACTGTGCACAGTGTGATGAGTTTTACATATTTGCATATTACCTGTTGCGTTCATTGTTTTGTTCTCTGCATCTTCGCAGATGGTAAATGCTCAGCAATAATACTTGATTGAGTAGATAAGAGATTAAGTGAATAAATAACTGCTAAGCAGCCATGGAATTCTATCCTCCTCAGCTTTTCAGGATAGATACTGCAACATCCTGGTAGTTCTGGCTCTCATAAATTCTTCAGGCAGCTCCTCTTTTTAATTCTCAGTCTTTCTGCAAAAGTTCTTCATATTCTTTTGGAAGGCTCATTCATAAGCCTAACTCTTTGGTGTTGACCTCAACCTCTCTATCCTAGGTGCTTCTCTCTTTTTGAAGAATAGGTCAAAGCTTCTGGTGCTCTTACTCTTTACCACCTCCCAACAGTACCGTCATATGATGAATAGGTCAGAGCCATCTGGATCCAGCTACTTCCCAACCAATCAGCTGGCAGCCAAGCTAGACAGTGTGGAATAGGTACTTTTACACTGAGTCATCTGTACAGATTTCTTCCTATAGAGTTTCTAGTTCATCCTTTAGTGTGAAGATCTTAGCCACAGCCCTATCCCTCCATGCCATGTTTGTTATATAGTCTCTTAAGTTGTTTTATTTATTCATTCTTTCTATAGTTGTGTATATCCTTCTGCCAAAAGCATCTTCCTGAAATGATGCTTTCATGTTTCTACTATTCATCTCACAAGACTGTTTCATCATTCTGGGCATACGCATCTGCTTGGTTTTTGAGAGCTTCCTTGATCTGTCCACAGTTTATCTCCACTGCCATTATCTCCATTTATTTTCATCATGACCTCAGTAACTATATTTCCTTTTCTTCGGAAAATGTCATCAGTGACCATGTTGTCTTAAATCTGTGTAGTGAATGGCTAACACAATCAAGTTCTTTAATGATTTGGGGTGGTATGATAGCCATATCGTCCTTCTTAGCTTCATTTGAACACATGTTCAGCTAATTAGTTGGCCTTAGAAGAAAGATAAGTGAGTAGGTTAAAACAAAAAGACAAACGAGCCTTTGCCAGGATTAGCAGTCAATTGTAGGATAGTAGGAGCTAAAATAAGCAACATAGGCAGGGATTAACCTTTCACATCTGCTTCATTTCATTTCAGATTTGTTGCAATGCCTTGCATGATTTTATCACTTACAGAAGAATGTGACTTCACAGTGAACCAAAGGGTTGTGATTTACTGGGGGAGGTGGGAGGGCAAGGAGAGAGAGAAATAGTGGCCAGAGAAAGAGCCATAGCCTTGTGTGGCTATCCCATCTGGAAGAACAGACAGAGTTCTCAGACAGATTCATTTACTCTGCCTGTCGGGATATATGACCCACAGTTACCAACAATAGCCATATTACTGTCTATGGTGATAAACTTCGAAGGACAGTGTTTTAAGAAGATTCAAGTAGCAGATAATAAATGACAGAGTCGTCTTTTGCTTTGTTTTCTGTGGTTTCTGAGTTCCTTTGGGATAGAAACAGAAGGTATCACTTACAAAAATGAATGTTGGGTCAATGGGTAATATTAAAAGTAGGCAAATAGAATTCCACCTTTCACAATTGCCACTTATTACAGGAGTCATAGTGTTGAGTCCCTCCTATTGAGAATGTCTCTCTTATCAAGCTTCAGTTGCTCTACAAATTGATGATGACATTGTAGTCATTTTTGTATTTGTGTCCTGACCATAATTTCTCGGCTGTCTTAGCATTGCAGGAAGTGTAGCTGAAAGCTATGACACAGAGAGTGGGTTTGAAGATTCTGAAAACAATGACATCACCAACTCTGTTGTGAGGTTCATTACCCGATTTATTGACAAAGTTTGTACAGAGAGTGGAGTTACTCAGGATCACATCAAGAGTCTTCACTGTATGATACCAGGTAATCACTTTGCAAATATTAAAGAATCAGGATATTGAAAATAACTAAGTTCAGCATGAGATTTGTCTGATACCTAACACATAATTTATCCATCCTTCTTGTTTACCTTCTGATGAATTTTTTAAAGTTGTTTTTGTTATTGTTGTTTTGTTTTCTGAGACAAGGTCTATTCTAACCCAGGCTGCTCTCAAACTTGCAGTGTCCCAAGACTGGCCTTGAACTCCTGATTCGCCTGCCTCTTGCCTCCCAAGTGCTGGGATTACAGGCATGTGCCACCATGACAGACTATAACATGCTATAAATTTGTGGCAAAATATGTACCATAAGAGATGCTTAATTATAGTCACAATATTTTACAAATATTACCATAATTTCCAAAACTTTCTCATCACCCCAAATAGATACTCTGTCATTATTAGGTAATAAATCCTGTTTCTCTAGTCCCTGCCCCTAGGAATATCTAATCTGCTTTCTGTTTCCATGAACTTTTCTACTACAGATGTTTTATGTAAGTAGCATCAAGCAATGTTTCAACTTTTGTGTCTAGCTTATTTCCATTAGCATAATATTTATAAGATTTATCCATTTATTAAAACCTCATTTGTTTTACTGATCCATTTTATGGATATATCTTACTTATTTATCCATTCATTTGTTAATGGCGACTTGAGTTACTGGAACTTTCCGAAATAATGAATAATGGTTCTGTGGATATTTACATACAGGTATCTGTTTGAGTACTCGTTTTTAATTCTTTGGGGGTTTATAGCTAGGAGTAGAATTTTGTGGATTATATTGTTACTGTATTTAACTTTGGGGGGAACTTCCAAACTTAGTCTTTTATTCTAAAATACCTGGAGTTTGGCTTTATTCTGCTTGATTTGTTTTCTTTCATTTGAGTTCTCTGGCTTATTCTAGGAATTGTAGCTATGCACATTGAGACCCTAGAGGCAGTACATCGAGAGAGTAGAAGACTTCCACCCATCCAGAAGGTAATTATCCACACTAGATGCTTTCTCAACTTTACAGGTATGTTTTCATAATGCATTAAACTTTGGGAGGAATTTGCCATGTAGACCCTTATAAGATACTGAAGTAGGAATGGTATCTTTTCTGGGAGTCAACAAGAAACAATAATAATCATTTGTTAACTCTGCTGTTCTAGGGAGGTCATAAATTATGAATAATTCTAACTTCCAAGTTCAATCCCAAGATTTATGTAACTTCCCCCTCCCCCCAAAAAAGGTTAAAAGATTTAAGGCAACTACCTTAAAAGCACTGAGTTCCTGAATCTGGTTGTCCTTGACAAACAGATGGGAAATTTATTAAGGGCTTAGAGTCCTGGCCTCCTGAATTGGAATACCATGGGGCACAGCCTAGAAATCTACCTTTTAAGGAGCCAGTATGATCATTATTTTGAATCTGGCCTGGCACCTGACTGTGGACTAGGATTCAGGACCTTCTCAGCTCTCTTAACATAACTTTTAAAACTACATCTAAAGGAGAGATCAGAAGCCAGATAGGTAGGAACAGCAAGTCTGAAGTTTAACCTACAGAAATTATTAACACTTTGATTATTTGTACTTAGTTCTGAGATTCCTAGAGCCTGAAAACAAAATAGTGCTGACTTGTATGGTTTTATTGCTGGTTCATCGTTTACTATTTTCCTCAAAAAATAATAAATGAATGAATGAAGAATGAATGAATAATCTTTTTCAGGGGAGATGATAGTCTTCTTGCCCTAATCATCCAAGAGGAACTTACCATGTTGTTCTCTATACAAAGAACTCTGAGTCAAATTTCTCGTGTATAAATGTTCATTACTGGGGCTGGAGAGACAACTCAGCGATTGGAAACACTGGTTGTTCTTGCAGAAGACCCGGGTTCGAATCCCAGCACCCACATGGCAGCTAACAGTAACTCCAGTCCCAGGGGAACCAACAGCCTCTTCTGTCCTCTGCGGACATTGCATGATACGGGTGAACTTACCTACATGCAGGCAATACACACATATACATAAAATAAAAATAATAAATAAAATATTTTTTAATGTTCATTACTCAGCCATGAAGGATAATGCTTCAAAACAAATCAATGTGTTTTTTCAGTTTGCAAAAGTAATCATGGGTTTGTTGTTGTTGTTAATTCAGTCTTTTTGAGACAGGGTCTCTCTGTAGCCTGCCTCTGCCTTCTGAGTGCTGGGACTCAAGGCCTGTGCCACCACACCTGTCTTGTGTTTTTTTATGTAAAGAAATATATATTGCACAATATAATATCCTCCTCCCCTACCCATGTCTCTGCCATTACACAGCACTGCCATTATCAATCTTTCCATATTCTTAACATTTTTTCTTAAGTTTGTTTTTTTGGGTTTTTTTTGTTTGTTTGTTTTGAGACAGAATCTCCCTGTAGCCCCTAGCCTAGAACTCACTCTGTAGACCAGGCTGGCCTTGACCTCACAGAGATCCACCTGCCTCTACGGGAGTGCTGGGATTAAAGGCATACGCCACCACACCCAGCCTGTTAAGCAGCTTTTAACATTTTATTTTAAGGTTACACAATGATTGTTTGAAATGATTATTTCAAACTTCCAAGTTATTCCCCAATGATTTTGCTGTTTAATAAACAGTGCTGTAAAGAATCTTTCCCTGTTCGGACTTAGAAACTTCATGTCTACTTCTCACCAACTCTTTTTCTCATCTGGCTTCCAGTGAAGTCTAGCGCTGGGTTTTCAGGACCATAAATAGAAGGTACTACCTTGGCCTAAATGGTGGAAACTCCACAAGAGCTGCTTTTAAAACAGTTTATCTATTCTTAGCCCAAGATTCTCAGACCAGCTCTGCTGCCAGGAGAAGAAATTGTTTGTGAAGGTCTTCGAGTCCTACTGGATCCTGATGGCAGGGAAGAAGCCACTGGAGGTCTTCTTGGAGGCCCTCAGCTCCTACCAGCAGAAGGTGCCTTGTTCCTCACTACATACAGAATTCTCTTCAGAGGGACGCCTCATGACCAGCTAGGTATGACTCAGCACATGCCATCAGAACATGAATATCTGTATGGCACTAGAGGTTTTTTTCAGTCTTTGCACAGTGAGTGATGGACACATCATTTCAAATCCAGAAGAAGAAGCCACATGGGGGCTTGGAGGGCTGCTGCTTTTCTGTGTGAAAGCTAATGATTATTTAAGTAATAGATTTCATTTGAAGAACAGGTGGTATCTTCTAGTCAATAAGTGAAGAGTTTGTTTACTGAAATGATTTTTATTGTATGAGGTAGAGTATTACAGTATGGTGATGTCATAATATCCTGCTGCTAAATGTTTCCCTTGCCAGTTTGTTGCTCTAGCTTCTAAACATGGACACTACTCGTTTGCTCTAGTTAACTAAAGTGAAGGTCTTCCCAGGTGCATGGTCCTTTTGCTAAGCATTGCACAGTCACATAGCACTAACCCCTTCACTCTTATCCCAGCTGAGATTGGGGCCTGCTGCCCATGTCCACAGTTCTGTGCTGAGTTTTTGTCTGCTTGAGTTTGCATGGGTCTTGTCCATGCTTGACAGCCATTGCTGTAAGGGTCATATGAACAGGGTCCCAGGAACTTGTAGGACTCTATTTCGATGTGGTCATGTACCTTCTCCCTGTCTCTTACAACCTTTCCCTGCCCTCTTCTGCAATGGTCCCTGAACCCTAGGTGGGTGAAGTTTAATATAGGAGTCCTGTCCAAGAACCAGCATTCTGCACACTCTTAAATTGCTACACTTTGGCCATTTGTGGCCTTTTGTGCTCATTGCCCTCTGTTGCATGAGAGCTCTTCATTGATGAAAGTTGGAGATGCATTAGTAGTCTCCCTACCCATTGTTCCACTGTTTCGTGAGCTTTAGGTGTAGAGGTTCCATTGTAGATGTGTCACTTAGGGTTGTATGTTTCACACACTAATTCTCTGTGTGTGACCAGTTGTGAAACTCTATAATAGCCTCCGTCTTTCACTTCTTTGATGAGACGTGACTGACATTCTTGTCTGTAAATATAAGGATCCATATTTAGCACATAGTAAATTACATTTGTCTAGGGGTGTGACAGCCTTAGGGCTTTCGCTAAGATCTATGACCTCTTCAGCTGTCCAAGGATGGTGTGTATGCAGCTTCTTTTCTAGACTTGCCTTCATAACCTCGGAGAGTTTCTATTTTCCCATTCTTGTTTTAATGTTTATATTTCCAAAACTCTTGGTCATACATCTAGTACTATTGTCTGAAGGAAGAGTCACAGTACAATACCTTTTACGGCATATAGAAACAGTGTTTAGAAATCTGTTCTCCTCCTAGGCGTGGTAGCTCATGCTTATAATCCCCACACTTGAGATGAGGTTAGAGGACCTATCTTCTTATTCACAATTGGGGGTTTAACAGGAATTGTATTATCAAATTCATCACTGGACATTGTACTCCATGACACCTACTACGTAGTAGCACACTTTGAGGTTAGAGGACTGTGAGTTTGCGGCCAATCTGAGCTGCATGATAAGCCCCTGATCTCCCTCCCCCTGCCACTCCTCCCAAAAAAAATCTGCTCTCTTTTGCTTTATCATTCTATTAAATGTCTTGCCTATCTTTTCAATATTCGAGGATACTTTTTATTTATATATACACACACTACACCCCCTATTCTTTCTATATGGCTGCCTTAACCTGGGTATTTCTGTATGATGCACAGTAGTTCAAGGAGATCGAAACAACAAAGATGAGTGGGTGTCCCAGTTCCTGTACTCAGGGAAAAACATATGTCTCAGGAGTGAATTGCAATATAATAAAACTAATGAGACTCATAGCACTTTCTCTCATTGTATCACTGGGGATCGTCCCCTGCCAATACATTCTTCAGAAGAGACTCTAGACCTTAGGTATAAAGTAGTGTTGCTGAGTCTGTGTCCTGTCCTCCTGCAGTTGGTGAGCAGACAGTAGTACGAAGCTTACCCATTGCCTCCATCACCAAGGAGAAGAAGATCACGATGCAGAACCAGCTGCAGCAGAGCATGCAGGAAGGGCTGCAGATCGCATCAGCATCTTTTCAGGTACAAGTTGAATATCCCTTACTTGACATGCTTGGGGCCAGCCATAAGCATTCCAGATTTTAAAATATTTGCATTTTTGCTGTTTTGTTTGTTTGTTTGTTTTTGTTTTTGAAACAGGGTCTCCCTGTAGCCCCAGCTGGCCTGGAACTCACTATGCGGATCAGGCTGGCCTTGAACTTACAGAGAGATCCAGCTGTCTATGCCTTCTGAGTGCTGGGATTAAAGGCATGCACCACCACGCCCAGTTTAAGTATTCCTAATTTTCAAAAATCAAAATCACCCTGGAATCCAGACTTTTTTGAGCATCAAAGTTTCAGAATGTTTCCAATTTTATATTCTTCACATATACAATACTCAACCTGTATTAGGGAAAAAAGCCTGGGCTGGAGAGGTGGCTCAGCAGTTAAGAACACCAACTGTTCTTGCAGAAGACCTGTATTCAAATCCTAGCACCCACATGGCAGCTAACAACTGTCCATAACTCCAGTCCCAGGGGATCCAAAAGCCTCTTCTGTCCTCTGTGGGCATTGCACAACACGGGTGCACTTACTACATGCAGGCATAACACTCATATGCATAAAATAAAAATAATAAATAAATTAGAGGATGAGTATAAGGAAGATGAGTGTCTGGGGGTGCCATCTTTGGCTAAGTAAACTCATGAGTGGGTCTGGGTATAACCCTCCACTTCAGAAACCCTTGGTCAACTTGGTACCAACAGATCGTATGTCAGTTAGATACACAATGGCTCTTCTCTGACAACTTATTCTTCAGTTCCTGCTTGATAAAGCCTTTATGTATTTATTTTTAAATCCTGTTTCAGAAGGAAATACTCTATGTTCTGTGGAAGAAGAAAATCTTTAGAAGTATAGCTACAGCTAATGTACTATTTTTAACTATTTTTATTCTTTGAGAATTTCACTCAGTACATTTTGATCATCTTCATGCCCCACCTCTCTCTCCTCCCATACCCTCTCCTACCTTCCTACCCACCCAGCTATATGTCTACTTTTTTTTTTTTTTAATTTGAAGTCCATTAAGTCCAGTTGGTGCTGCCCAAACACTCTTTGGTGTCAGTTCATTCCCTGGAGCATGGTCTACCTTCCAGTGGCCACACCCTTAAGGAAAACTGACTCTCCCTCTCCCAGCAGCTATCAGTTGTCACTAGCTTCTCCGTTAGGAGTGAGACTAATTGCCCACCTCCCTGTTCCATGATGGGTTTTTGTCTGGCTTGAGTTTGTACAGGTCTTGTACATGATATCATAACCACTATGAGTTCACTTGGACAACTACCCTGTTGTGTCCAGAAAACCGTTTTGCTGTAGTCCTTATCTACCACCTCTGGCTCTTGCAATCTTTCCAGACTCTCTTCCACAATGATCCCTGAGACTTGAAGGAAAGGATGTGATAGAGATGTCCCATTTAGGACTCAGCACTCCATAGTCTCTTATATACAGTGCACACTGACCAGTTGTGGGTGTCTGTATTAATAACCATCTGTTGCAAAAAGAAGCTTCTCTGATGAGGGGTGAGAGATGTACTAGTCTATGGGTATAACAATAAGTCATTAGGAATTGGTTTAATATTATGTCCATTTAGCAGGAAAGTAATAGTAGGTTCTCCCCTAGAGTCTGTGACCTATCTAGCTATAGATTCTTGGCCCCAATAATGGTGCCAGGTATGAGTTCCATGCTGTGGAATAGGCCTTAAATCTAAGCAGAAAGTGTGGTTACTCATGTAACATTCATGCCATTGTTATACTAATGGGCACATCTTGCCAGGGTAGCTTGCAGGGTTCACAGCTGGGTAAGACTGATGATTACTTTTCTCTTCCCAGTAGCATGTATGGCATCTTCTAGCACTATGAAAGCTAGCCAGTAGGGATGAAGCTTTGAAGTCAGTACCCACTTGATTTTTCCCTGTTCTACAACACAGATATGCAATGTCTTCAGGAATAGGATCTTTACCACCAAGTTCTGGAGGTAATCAAGAGCAATAGCCAGTAATTTGAGGAATGTATGGGACTTTCCTCGTAACCCATTCTTAGCACTAGGTCTTTTATTTGCTAGCCTGTGGTGTCTAGTAAGTGCATTGGTTCCACCACTCCTCCCTCACTCCAGTGTGTGTGTGTGTGTGTGTGTGTGTGTGTGTGTGTGTGTGTGTGTGTGTGTGAAAGCTGCTACTTTAGTAGGTTTCCATATGACTTTTTCTAAAGGTCTATAGCGTTATAGCCATACTCCTTCCTCCCTGGTTTCCCATCCCCTATCCTATTTAACCCTTCCTGGTTTGGTTTGTTATTCCTCTTTTTCCCCCTTTATATCACCGCATTCTGTCTGCCCTCTCCTGGAAACACACACACACACACACACACACACACACACACACACACACACACACACACATTTCCTGACTCCAGTGGGTTTTCCAAATGAAACATGTATTTAAAACTTCAAAGCTAGCATCTACATGTGAGAGAAAACATACAGTGTCTTTCTGGGGTCTGTATTACTTCATCCAGGATGATTGTTTCCAGCTCCATCCATTTACCTGAAAATTTCTTTCTTTCTTTTTTTTTTTTTTTTTCCTCTTTTTGAGACAGGGTCTCCCTGTAGCCCCAGCCATCTTGGAACTCACTATGTAGACCAGGTTGGCCTCAAACTCACAGAGATCCACCTGCCTCTGCCTCCCAAGTGCTGGGATTAAAGGCATGTGCCACCATGCCCAGCAAATTTCATAATTTTAAAAAATATTTTATTATTTTTATTTTATGTGTATGAGTGCATTGCCCATATGCATGTGAGTGTACCCAGGTTCGATTCCCAGCACCCACAAGGTGGCTACGAACCATCCTTGATTCCAGTTCCAGGGGAATCTAAAGCCCTCTTCTGACCTCTGCAACACTGCATGACATGGGTACCCGCTCTTTGAGGAACCTCCACATGGATTTCCATAGTGGCTGTACCTATTTGCACTCCCATGAGCAGTGACTACGTGTTCCCCTTTCCTCATATCCATTTGTTGTCGTTTTTTTATCTTAGCCATGCGATTTTTGAACTCTGTCAAAAATCGCATGGTTATAGGTGCAAGGACTTATATATGGGTTTTCAATTCTGTTCTATTCCATTGTCTGATTTTATAACCATATCTTGCTGTTTTATTATAGTTGTTTGATATAACTTAAAATTGGGCATGATGGTGCTTCTAACAGGTCTCCAGGATTATTTTGACTATCCTTGGTTTTTGTGATTTCATATGAAATTTAAGATTATTTTTTCAACTTTTATGAAGACTTGCATTGGAATATTGATGGGGATTGTGTTGAATCTGTACATTGCTTTTGATAGGACTGCCATTTTCACAATACTGATCCTGCTAATCTATGAGCATGGAAGGTCTTTCTGTCTTCTGGTGTTTCCTTCTGTTTCTTTCTTGAATTTCTTAGGATTTTTATTATAGAGGTCGTTCACTTCCTTGGTTAGACTTACTCCTAGATATTTTTTGTGAGATTATCGTGAATGGGGTTGTTTCCCTGATTTCTTTCTCAGTATGTTTGTTGTTAGTATATAGAAAGATACTTACTTGTATTAACTTTGTGTCCTGCTTCTTTGCTATATTTGTTGTTAGTATATAGGAAGATAGTTACTTGTATGTATTAACCTTGTGTCCTGCTACGTTGCTTTGTTTCTCACCTCTAGGCATGTTCTGATGTGATGTTAAGGTCTTTTATCTAGAGACTCATATCATCTGCAAATAAAGATACTTTGACTTGTTTTTGTATTTGTTTCCCCTTTATCGCCTTCACTTGTGTTTTGCTTAAGCTAAAACTTCAAGCACTATACTGAACAGGAGTGGAGAGAATGGACACACTTGTTTTGTTCCTGATTTTAGTGGAAACGCTTTGAGTTTTCCTCCATTTAGCATGATGTTAATTATGGGCTTGTTGTATATTGCCTTTATTATGTTGAGGTATGTCCCCTGTATCTCCAGACTTTCCATGACTTTATCATGAAGGGATGTTGGATTTTTGTCTAAGGCCTTTGTTCCATCTAATGAGATAATCATATAATTTCTGTCCTTGAGTCTATTTTATGTGGTAGATTACACTTATTGATTTATATAAGTTGAACCATCCCTGCATCTCTAGGATTAAGCCAATTTGATCATGGTAGATAATCTTTTTGACGTTCTGTCACAAGTGATGCTCAGTTTGTAAGTATTATATTGAGAATTTTAGTGTCTTTATTCATCAGGGAGATGGGCTTAGAATTTTCTTTTGGGGGCTTCTTTTTTTGGTTTTGGTATCCAGGTAATATTGACTTCATAAAAGAAGTTGGTAGTGCTTTCCCTTCTTTTCTAGTTTACAGACTAATTTGAGGAGTATTAGTGTTAATTCTTCTTTGACAGTCTGGTAGGATTCTGCACTATATCTGTCTGGCCCTGTGTCAATTTTAATTGAGGGATTTTTTTTTAAGGAAGTCATAATTTTATACCAGTTTAATTTACCCACCTAATGCTTAATGGCCACAAAATGCTTCTGCAACTAAAACTAAAAAAGTTACGGGGAGTACATGTTAGATACTAATGAATCCTCAGGCTTTGAGGATGTCATTGCAGGAAAAATTATGGGAAACATTGTTCTAAATAGTGTAACATGTAGCTCACTGTCTCCTATATAGACTCTGTAGCAAGCAAAAACTGCCTTGTTCTTCATATTTATGGAAGACACTGCTCCCCATTATGTGAATTAGGTTTGTGACAGTTTTGCAATTTGAATTTAGTTATATCTTGAATAAGCTATAAAATTTTGCAGGTAAGTACTATCACAGCTTTCAAATTACACACAGACACACACACACACACACACATAAAATTTGGCCAAAATTGAATTTAGAAAAAAAAAAATTTATTTCTGGACAGTTAAATAGAAATCTAACTTAATTAGCAATGTCTAATTAAATTTAATTCTTTTCCAGTTCTTGGTGTGATAATTTTACTTGGTTTGTGGTTTTCTTCGTAAAAACTAATAGGGGAATTTTTATTTACTGCTTTTATATCATTGGTTGTTATTGAAGCTAATGTACTATTACCATGAATAACTAAGCAACCTCTGACAAAACAATGGTTTTCCAGGGGTCTGAACTTATCAAACTTCTAGAACTACTGATATAAACTATACCTGAAAGAAGTGACCTTTTCTTTTTTTTTTCTTTTTTTTCATTTTAAAGTTCACAGTCTATAATATTTGCTTTTCCTGTTTTGTAGTCCATGTTTCTGACTTCTCAGATTTCCTAGAACGCCAGATCTTGCCCTAGTCCTTCTTGTGAATGAGCCTTGCCTAGCAGCTCTGTGCTTTGTGACAAAATATGAAGCTGCTGTCACTGAGCTCAAGCCTTCTCACATCACCAAGAGTCCTGCTAAGGATTTCCTTACTATTCCAACTGCCAAAGAATTCTGCACTCAAGTCTTTCCTGGTTGTGATCTAGTGAAACTGACTTTGTTTTCTAACACTTGAGAAGTAAAAGGAGCAAAATGTGATAACTGCTATTTCCTACTCCAGGTTAATTCCCTATCTTATTATAGAAAAGGTAGTTTTAAAGAAAAACAACTTCAAGAACCTGATTTTTCTTGCCAATCATGTATTGCAAGTAAATTTTTCTAAGCTTCACTTTTATTTTTCATTTTTATTTGATTATTGTGTGTATGTGTGCACACATGCCACAATATGCATATGGAGGTCAGAAGACAACCGTGGAGTTGGTTCTCTCTACCTTTACATGGGTTCTAGGGTTGAACTCAGCTTGCCAGGCTTGCACAGAAAATGCCTTTACCTTTGAGCCATCTTGCCAATCCCACTTTTTTACTTTTAAATTTTTTAAAATTGTTTTTCATATTTTGCAAAGTCCCTACAACCTTTAAGTCCTTATAACATCTAAAGTTACAGTATTTGTTATTAATATTTTTCTATTTAATACTGTTATTTTCTGACTTTTTGTGGCGTGAGTGTAATTTGTCTAGAAATCCTTTACATTTCTGATGTGCTTAATCTCTTTTATCTTTAGTTGATTAAAGTAGCATTTGATGAAGAAGTCAGTCCTGAAGTGGTAGAGATCTTTAAGAAACAGCTGATGAAGTTCCGTTATCCTCAGTCCATTTTCAGCACCTTCGCGTTTGCTGCAGGACAGACTACCCCGCAAATCATTTTACCCAAACAGAAGGAAAAGAATACCTCTTTTAGGTAAGAAGAAAGACAGGCCTTTCAATTTCAGCCTCTCCATAAATGATTGTGAGAGGAAGTAACTTATCTTTTGTAAATTACTGCTCTTTTCATAGCATATATATTTTGTGTGTATATAACAAAATACTCCTTTATCCTGAAACTTCAGTGTATGTTTTCCAAGAACAGAGACATTATCTTATATGATCATAGACCATTAGTCAAAACCAGGAACTTTAATTGATATAAAACTCTTATGTGGGGGCTGAAGAGATGGCTCAGTGCTTAAGAACACTGACTGTTCTTGCAGAAGACCCAGGTTTGAGTCCCAGCACCCACACGGCAGCTAACAACCATCCGTACATGACAGTACATTCCCATTTCCAGGGAATTTGATGCTAATAAGGTGTGGTGGTGCATGCCTTTAATCCCAGCACTTGGGAGGCAGAAGCAGACCAGCCTGGTGTACATAATGAATTCCAGGACAGCTGGGGCTACAGGGAGACCCTCTCTCAAAAAGACAAAAAAAAAGCCTCTTATGTATAGTTGGGCATAGTGGTGCAGGCCTTTAATACTAGCACTCAGGAGGCAAAGCCAGACGGAGCTCTGTGAGATCAAGGCTAACCTGGTCTACATAGAGAGTTCCAGGCCGACATAGGCTACATGGAGACCCTGTCACAAAAATACCAAAGAAAAGGAAAAAAAAAATTTTTCTCATACAGCTCAGGGTTCATATTCAGATTTTGCTAAGGATTCCTTATAGCTATTGGGGGGTGGGGGGGTTTGTCCAGGATCCGGCATTGCATTTAGTTATTGTATGAACCCTTATTTTCTGATGAAAGTTTTAGGAATTGATGTTGTAGCTTAAATTTCAGTTAGCATATGTTTTAAAATTCTCTTCTATCAGTGATAAGCTATAGGAGGCTACTGTTTGAAATCATTCATCATTAACCTAAAATGTGAGTATCATCCCATACAGATTACATACTTAGAAAGAGCTTTACAGACTTTTTTCCTAGAAGTGAAGCAGATAGAGATTACAGAAGATTTAAGTTTCCGAACAATATGTCATTTCTCAGATGCATAGCTGATCACCTGTATTCCTATGAATATCAAAGTATGAAAGAGATGCCTGAGCAGTGTCCTGTGGATTTATAACAGTAGGCTAACCATTTATCTTAGCACTGTATAGTCATAGAGGAGCTTGTGTTGTTATCCCCAGCCCACAATAGAAGAAACAAAGTTTGGATAGTGTGTGTTATTTTTAGAAAGTCTAAAAAAATGACATATTAGTTTCAGAAACATTCATTTTTATAAAATCTGTTATATCAGCTACAAGAGAGATAACACAACTTTAAAGAACTGCCCTGAGGACGTGAGAACAAAGGTTTTAGCTACAGATGAAAAGTTTTCTCAAAAATGCCATTGAGTTTAAATTACTCTTCAAGTGATTTACAGTGGGTTTTATTTGGAGAATATCAATATTTTGTGTTTCCCAGCAGTTATCTAAATCATGTTTCTCACCCCTTAGTTTATATTACAGACAACTAAAGGTGGACTTTTATTTGATAATAGACAAAGTCTTATCACAGTTCATAGACTGGGAAGAAAACACAAAAAGAATCTTATTTTTTGTGTTAGACAGGAGCATAATCTAGAACAATCTGACTCAAAAGTTTCACTTCTAGCTAATTAATCCAGATTTGTTTCTTTAAGTGCAAAGTGTAAACATTCTGTGTCTAGATTTTCTATCATCAAGAAATGGCTATTTAAATAAATAAAGTATTTTAACTCCTTTTAATTTTTTTAATTTTTTAAACTACTTTTATTTGTGTGAAGCTCCTTTACTTGCTGAGCCATCTCACTGGCCCGGATTTTTTAATCATGTTTACTTATTTGTCATGTGTGTATTTATGTATGTATGTATATATGTGCACACGTGCCATGAGGTATGTATAGAGGTCAGGAAACAGTTTGTGGTAGTTGGTTCTCTCCTTCTACCATGTGGGTCCCAGAGATTGAACTCGAGTAATCAGGCTTGATGGCAAGCACTTTTACCCATATTGAATCATCTGGCCTGCCCTTTTAACTAGTAAGTGATTTATATCTTAGTGCCCCCTTAATTAAAGCTGATTCGCAGAAATATGAGTTCTTATTTTTCTCTTCTCAAAAAGAATTATTCTTTTTCTATATTTCAAAAGGTTTACAGCTAATGAGAGGCAAGGCTCCTTACACATAAACATACTTAAAACATTCAAGAAATAAGAAAAAGTGTTGCCAACCATCAATGTCATATTTGAATTGAAGGAAAGGGGACTTTTCATGCAGGAAGACTTTTGCAGGCATGATTTTTGTGAACAGCGGCAGATGCGGTGTTGCGGATAACTAGGATAGGCATGAGAATGCTTGATCCAGAAACTAAACCGTGAAATTTAAGATCTGCATGATCAGGAGTAGTTTGTATCACACTTTAGTTCTTACACTTTTTGCCTAAAGCAGTGTCCTAAGTACAATGACCTTTTTTTTTTAAGAGAAATTAGTTATCCACAGTATAAAAAGTGATATAAAGGAGAAGCTTAACAAGACTATGTACAGAGTATATACCTATCACCTATGAGGCTGTGGGCATGGAGAAGGAAAAATTTTGTGCAATATAGATGTCAAAAATAATGGTGCTTTCATATTAAATTGACATTCTTGGGCCATACGTGGTGACACACACCTTTAATCTCAGCACTTGGGAGGCAGAGGCAAGCAGACCTCTGCTAGTTCAAAGCCAGCCTGGTCTGCATAGTGAGTTCCAAGCCAGCTAGGGCTACAGGAAGACCTTGTCTCAAAAATACAAAAAAAAAAAAAATGACATTTTATTTGGTTTTATGACTCCTAGAACTTTTTCGAAAACAATTGTAAAAGGTGCCAAAAGGGCAGGGAAGATGACAATTGGGCGGCAGTACCTGCTGAAGAAGAGGACAGGAGCAATCTCAGAAGAGAGGGTGAACCGCCCTGGGTGGAACGAAGAGGATGACATGTCTGGTATGTGAGAACCTATTTCCTGTGATTCAACTTTGCTGTATGCATAAAGCAAGATTTAAAGTTGCACTTAAAGTTTGATGGACAAAAACTTTATGAAAAGATTGTAAGTACTTACCAGTTTCTCTGAACTAATAAATAAATAAAGAAAGAAAGAAAGAAAGAAAGAAAGAAAGAAAGAAAGAAAAAGATTTTTTCAAACTTACCTTAAATTTCTGAGCCTCTCATATGCACCTTCCAGGTGCTGAGATTACAGGCATGTGCCACCACACCTACTTTTGTAGTGCTGGGGTTTGTGTGTGTTTGCATTCCCAAAATAAGAAATAATATGTACAAACTTACCTCTGTAGCCAATGGAAAGATCCACCACGCCATTACTAAAATAACCACTTAATAGAACTTTGGACTGCTCAGAGTCATATGAAAATTAAAATTAAGGGACTGGAGAGATGGCTCAGCAGTTAAAAGCACTGGCTGCTCTTGCACAGGACCCAAGTTCGATTCCCAACACCCACATGGTGGCTAACAACCATCCATAACTCCAGTTCCAGGGAATCTGACACCTCTTTCTGACCCCTGTGGGCATTGCATGGCACAGGTACACTTACACACATGCAGGCAATATACTCATACACATAAAATTAAAATATTAAAATTTTAAGAAGTTCTGAGTGCTTTACTTTGAGCTAATAATTTTGACAAAACTTATGTCTGCCTGTCAGTTTCAGATGACAGTGAACTCCCTACAAGCACAACTCTGAAGGCCTCAGAGAAATCTACAATGGAACAGCTGGTAGAGAAAGCTTGTTTCAGAGACTATCAGCGTTTAGGTTTGGGAACCATAAGTGGCAACTCCTCCCGCTCAAAACCAGAGTATTTCCGAATCACTGCTTCCAATAGGCTGTATTCACTGTGCCGGAGGTAAGTAGCAGTGGAATCCAAAAAGGACCTTTATTTATTTCCCATTTGACTCTTTGAAAAATTCTAGAAACACAAGGCAGGAACCCCAGGGATGTGTATACTTAAGAGATACTTTTCATGCAATATGAGCAGGCACTCAGAACAATTATATCACTAAAAAGTACCTGTGTTAGAGCAGAAGGTGACAGTGCTTGTACCCTTTCTTCATTTTCTTTGTCTTTCTATTCCTAGTTTAAAACAAGAATAGATTTGCCCAGGCATTTGAGTGAGAGTAAAGTCTGCTCTAGGCCAAGGAACTGTAAACATTTTTTTGTAAAGGACCAGAGAGGAAATGTTTTCAGTTTGCAAACCATATGGTCTCTTATTGCAGGTACTTAGCTCTTCCACAAAAGCAGCCGTAGACTAAGAAGTTAAATAGATGTGGCAGACTTTGGCCCTAGGCTATAATTTGCTGACTCAGATGTAGATGGGGGCTCTCAAGTTGTCAAGAGTATTTTCCTGGAATATTACTAGAGAATATAAATTAACAGACTTGTCACTTCTTGCTAATCTTCAAAAAAGTTAAGCTCATGAACTGAGTGTGGTGGCACACAATTTTAATCCCAGGCAGAGGCGGGCAGATCTCTGTGACATTAATAAAATGTAGACATAGGCAAGGACCTTCTGAAAAGAATTTTTAATAGCTCAGGAAATAATTGCAGGAATTAACAAATAAGATTGCATGAAATTAAAGAGCTTCTGCACACCTGGGCAGCTGCCAGTCACTGCCTGAACCACAGTCTCTGTGTCTCTGCCATTGGCATCCTCACCCTCACCCAACTGCAACATGGAAGGCTATTACAAGCCAGACCAGCAGAAGCTGCAGACCCTGAAGGACACAGCCAGTCACTTGACATCAGCTCCATCCTGGCCACCACAGCAATGGGCTCGGGCCACCCCACATCATGCAGCAAAGCTGCTGAGGTCATGGCTTTCCTTTTTCAATACCAGGTGCTTAAAGGCCCTGGATCTCCTGAGCCCTTGCAATGATCACTTTTTGCTCTCCAGTGGCCACACAGCTCTCATCCTGTATATAATCTGGGCCCAAGGTAGAACTGCTGAACCTAAAGATCAGCTCTGACTTAGACAGGCTCCCTGGGCCAGGGCCTCAGAACTGCTTGTGAGATAGCCTACACAGGCAAATAATCCAACAAAACCAGCTACTGGGTCTGTTGCATGCTAGAAAATGTGGAAATGGTGGCACCATGTCAGGAGCCATGGCCTTCACTTATTTACCAGCTGGACAACCTTGTTGCCAATGTTGACAGCAACTGCCTGAGCCAGAGCTACCCATCTCTGCCACAGCACCAGGGGGACATCTACCAGAAGTACTATGAGGCCTTTAGTTGGCATACCATCACGGAAAAACTATGCAAGGCCTCTGCCCAGGCCAACCACAAATTGACAGTCATTAACACCAAGACCTTCAAGGGCAGGACTAGAGAGATGGCTCAGTGATTAAGAGCACTGGCTGCTCTTGCAGAGGACCCAGGTTCGATTCCCAGCACCCACATGATGTCAAACAGCCATGTATAACTCCAGTTCCCGGAAATCTGACACTTTCTTCTGACCTCCACAGGCATTACACGACATGGGCACACCTGCCTATATGCAGGCAATACACTCATACACATAAAATAATAAATTTTATTTTTTACAAAAAGACCTTCAGGATCACAATACAAGGAGTCATGTCATGGGACGCTCCCCTACTCATAAATATGGCCAGTCAGATCATCCAGGAGATCTACAGCTAGGATCAGCACAGAAAGAAGACCCTGGCCTTTCCCTGCAGGAGGATGCTTCTTTAGTGGACATTGCAAACATCTACATACCCACCACACCCAGCTACAAAGTGGACAAGACAGCCACCTACCTGCAAGGTCTGAACAGGCCCTGACCAAGCTAGGCCATGCCAGTTACTGCATCATCATCCTGGATGGTACATTAAGAATCTACCTTCTCAGAGGTTTTCGAAAAGGAGCTCCCAGACCATTTTATTAAGTTCTAAATTGCCAAACAACATGGTGAGCATTGCTGCAGACTGCCACGTGCAACAGGACAGTGCCCTTATGTAGCACTTTTGTAGCCTTCTTCATACTGGCTTTTGACCAGATTTTCATGGCAGCCATCTCTGAAAGCAGTATCAACTTCTACAGCATCCATTGTGGAATGTCCACCAGGGGAAGATGAGAAGATGGTCCCACTCAGATGGCCCTAGAAGACCTGGCCATGTTTTGGTCAATCCCCAGGTCAACAGTCTTACCCAAGCAATGGAGTTGCAAGAGAAGGCAGTAGAATTAACAGCCATTACAAAAAGTATCTGCTCCATCCAGATCAGCTGCCCAGAAAATACTCTCATCTACAGAAGCAATGAGAATTTCCAAGGCAGACAGCCAAGATGGTTCTGAAAACCATGGATGATCAGGTGACAGTGATCAGGGCTGGTGTGGTCCTGCATAAGACCTTGGCCACAACAGAGCTTCTAAAGAAGGAGAAGTTCAATATCTGCATGCTGGACCCCTTCATCATCAAGCCCCTCTACAGAAAGCTCATCCTTGACAGTGCCCTTGCAACCAAGGACAGGATCCTCAAGGTGGGGAGCACTGTTGTGAAAGTGGCATAGGTGAGGCAGTGTCCACTGCAGTAGTAGATGATCCTGGAGTCACTGTCACCTGCCTGGCTGTTGGCCAAGTACCAAGAAGTGGGAAACCAGATGATGTTTGGTATCAATAAAGACAGCATTGTGTAAGTTGTGAAGGGCCTTGTCACCAAGGACTATAAAGGTATAAATGTTGGGTGGGGATCTGCACATTCCTGAGAAGTTCCAGCAGAGATGCTTGAACTGGGAGGGACTGGAGAGATAGAGGACTCAACAGTTAAGAGCATTGGCTGCTCTTCCAAAAGACCCTGGTTCAAATCCCAGCACCCGCAGGACAGCTAACAACTTGGTCTTTTCGAGATAGGGTCTCCCTATAGTCCCAGCTGGCCTGGAACTCACTATGTAGACCAGGCTGGCCTCAAACTCACAGAGATCTGCCCGCCTCTTCCTCCCAAGTGCTGGAATTAAAGGCATGTACCACCATGCCCAGCATTTAAAAAAAAAAAAAAGATGTACTGAGAGGAAATGTAAATATAATTTTAGGGAAAATAAAGAATAAAAAGGCTTCTCTACAGCTAAGGAAACTTTTATCAAAGGGAAAAGATAGCCTGAAAAATGGGAGAAAAGTTTTGCCAACCACACATTCAATTAGGGATTAACATTGAGAATATAGAAAGAACCAAGAAGAAAATTAAACACAAATCATCCATTTAATAAATGAACAAATACATTGAGCAGATAGCGCTTTAAAGAACTGGCCAATAAATATATGAAGAACGTTAATGATCCTTAATCATCAGAAAAATGCAAATTAATGCATTGAGATCACACTCAGAATAGCTATTGTCAAGAAAATAAATGACACCAAATGATGGTGAGGATTAGGGGAAAGGAACCTTTTACACTGCTGGTGGGAATGTAAACTGATGTCGTCACAATGGAAATTCAAATGGAGGTACCTCCAAAACTAAAATTTCCATATGATTCAGCTGTTCCACTTGTGGGTATCTTCCTGAAGAAGTCTAAGTCAGGCTACCACAGACATTCTTGCACGTCGATATTTACTGTAGCACTGTTCACAATAACTGAAATATGAAACCAGCCTAGATGCCTGTTGAAAGATGAATAAAGAAAATGTGGTATATATACACAATGGAATTTTATTCAACTACAGAAAATGAAATTATATCATTTTCAGAAAATGGATGGAGCTGGTGATCATCATGTTATTGCAAAATAAACCAGATTCAGAAATATACATATTCCTTGGTCTCTTTCATACGCAGAGTCCACACTTAAATATATTAACATGAAAGTGAAAGGAGGGCTATGTGGGAAGTAAGGGGGAAAGGAGAAGTTGGTGGAAGACAGAATACCACATTTTGTCTCTGGAGATCCAGATTTAAGAGAGAGTGTGTGTGTGTGTGTGTGTGTGTGTGTGTGTGTGTGTGTGTGTACATGTGTATATTACCTGTGGCATGAAAGCAGAAAACAACTGTTGGCGGGAAGAAGGGGATTAGCAGGAATACGGAGGAGGGATTTGGGAGAGGAGTTAGGAAATAAATACTAGAAGTTCTAGAAATGGGTAGTGGTGATAATGAACAGCCTTCCTAATATACCTAATGCCAATGACTTGTGATCTTAAAAAAGTATAACATGGCCAGGCATGGTGGTACACACCTTTAATCCCAGCACTCGGGAGAAATAGGCAGGCAGATCTCTGTGAGTTCAAGACCAGCCTGGTCTACATAGTGAGTTCCAGGCCAGCTGAGGATACAGGGAGACCTTATCTCAAAAAAAAAAAAAAGTATAACATGGTAAATTTTTATGTCAGGCATCTTTTACCACAATTATGATTTTTTTTTTTTTTGGTCTTTTTGAGACAGGGTCTCCCTATAGCCCCAGCTGGCATGGAACTCACTATGTAGAGCAGGCTGGACTTGAACTCACAGAGATCCGCCTGCCTCTGCCTCCCAAGTGCTGGGATTAAAGGCGTGCACCACCACGCCCAGCTAATTATGTTTTTATATCTTCTCTCTCCTATTTCTTTTCCCTTCTCCCCAACTAATTCCTTTCTCTCTCTGCATTCCTAAAGCTATCCTGGCCTTTTAGTCATACCTCAGGCTATACAAGACAGTAGTTTACCAAGAGTAGCCCGCTGCTATCGACACAATCGCCTGCCCGTTGTATGTTGGAAGAACTCAAGAAGTGGTACTCTGCTCCTCCGATCTGGAGGATTCCATGGGAAGGGAGTTGTTGGTCTTTTCAAATCTCAAAACTCCCCTCAAGCTGGTAAGCATCTCTCTACAGCACAACTTTCACTTGAAAATATTCCTAAAAATAAGCCAAGCATAGTAACACATGCCTGTAGTCTAAGTTCCTTGGGAGACTAAGGCAGTGTCACTTGAGCCCAGGAGTTTGAGGCCATCCTGTATACCATAGTGAGACCCAAACAGAGACTTGCTAAAAGTAAAGGGAATAAAACCTGGAATGCCAGTTGTATGGGGTCATCAATGCTTTTTCACTGTGCTACATATATACAGGACTGTGCTGAAGTAAGAATTGGACTTTGCACTGTGGGACTCCACCTTGAATTTACTATCACACTTAGTATATCTTGTCTTCACTTCAATTTTTTATTTTTTTATTTTTTGGTCTTCTTGAGACAGGGTCTCCCTGTCGCCCCAGCTGTCCTGGAACTCACTATGTAGACCAGGCTGGTCTTGAACTCACAGAGATCCGCCTGCCTCTGCCTCCCAAGTGCTGGGATTAAAGGCGTGCACCACCATGCCTGGCCACTTCAACTTTCAACAGAAATTAGTATAATATGAAGTCTTTGGTTGTAGACTGTTTTGATTCTAGAAAACTAGAATATCTACTAGTGAAAACTAGATTGTACCAGTGTTTTCTTTTTTCTGAGAAGTATCCAAATACATTTAACAGAGGCAAGTAGCGGTTTTGTCCCACATGGTATGAAACACCATGTCCTCTTCCTACAATACACATACACAACAACAGTAAACTCAACCAAAATGCTGTTTTAGGAAGTCAGGGAAATAGGAAGTGATACTGTCCTTTGCCCTAAGGACATGGCTAAAGCAGTAAAGTCTTGAGCTATATTTTGCTGACTTTCTCATGGGTTCTAGTTAAACTATGGCCTACTAATGTATTAGATATAATTAAAGGAATAGCATTCTTACATCTTTAGAATTTAAGTAAACCCAGAATCTTTGAGCACGTAAACTGTGTGGTTTTGAGTTGTGTTTTCATCCACTTCCTCCTGAACACTGGCCAATGTGTCCCTCCTATTTTGCTTGACTGAGAGCAGCACACACAGTACTACTGCATGCTGCCTGGCTTGGAGTCTCAGCGCTGGTAGTTAAAGGAAATTGATGTTTACCACTTTCTGTTCTGGGACTTCCCAAGCCAGAGTGTATAGTAGAGCACAAGCATATATAAGTATATAAAGTCTGTCATTTCAGGAGTACTGACAAGCTTCACTGAGCTTTTAGTAGGAAAAAAAGTGAGAGTTACTCCACTGTTTTCTGATTTATCTAAATATGGATTTACTGTATTGTATATTTTTGAATAAACACATTTGCTTACTTTTGATGTCTTTGAAATTGAGGTATGCCTCCTAATTGATTGATGTGGATAATATCATAGTTTAAAACAGCACATGCATCTTATAATTGATGACATCTTTAATTTTATAAAGTGTAATAATGGTTGCTGAATAGATGGCTCAGTGGTTAAGAGCACTGACCCAGGTTCAAATCCCAGCACCCACATGATGTCTAACATCCCTCCATAACTCTAGTTCCAGGGTATCCAACACCCTCTTCTGACCTCCCCAGGCACTGTACAACATGGGTGTACTTATGTACATGCAGACAATACACTCATGGAAAATAATAATAAAATGTTTTTAAAATAAAGTATAATAATGGCATCTTAGAGTAAATAAAAATAGTGCTATTTATTTTCTGAAGTAATAAGAAAATTTATGACTTCTTCTTGTCCGTTTAATGAACCCCTTCCTGATGCCACCTTAAAGTGCCTGAGCCTGCCAAGTAGGGATGGCACATCTGTAATTCCAGCACTGGCGGAGGTGGAGAGAGGAGGATCAGAATTTCAAAATCAGTGTCACCTGTATAGTGAGTTGGAGGCCATTCTGTGCTACATGAGACCCTGTCTCCAGATAATAAACACGGCAGGAGAGATTGGCTCAGCACCCACATGGCAGCTAACAACTGTCTGTAACACCAGTTCCAGAGGATCTGACGCCCTCTTCTGACATCCATGGGCACTGCACAACACATATGCAGGCAATATACTCATACATGAAATAAAAGTAACAAATATTTTTAAATAACAAATAGATAAAGTATCCAAACCCATTTCAGTGATACTGTTTTGCTGTACACAGACCAGGCTCATATTCCTGCCAACTATTTGCTTTCAGTTGTTTTTGTCTGTGTCTACTTTTTGTCTCCCTTTTAGAAGGACCAGGGAATCTGGCAAGAGTAACTACTATATTCTCCCTTTCTTCCTCCATGCTTCCATTCGCAAAGCTATTAGCTTATGTCCCCTATTAGGCCTGTGTGACATGATTGGAATCTGGCTTCTGGTATTATGAAATTCTCACCTCCACCTACTCTGGAATACCAAGGAAACCCAGCCTATCCTCTCTGTTCCCTCATAGAATCATGGGTAGAATATGTGATCATTAAGGAGATGTTGTTTATGAATTTTCATTTTGACTTGATTGGTTAATGGGAAGCTACACCTGTGTTTGGAAGGGTGGTCCTGTGCTGTCTTTCCAGATGTGGGCTCTTTGTGGGAGAATGATGAGCAAGTGAGTAGATGTGGTGAAACCAGCACCAGAAGACTAGCTAGCCATTTAATTGATCAGAGTTTTAAGTGGAACTGGTTTCTATATTTGGGTGTGGTAGCATAAAACTATGTGAAGGAAGTAAAACCCAGTGTATGTAAGAGCTTATTTTATTAACAAAGAGACAGATTATTTTATGTGATATCTATTTCATTTGTATTGTAGTTTCTACCTCCTCTTTAGAATCTTCCAGTAGCATAGAACAAGAAAAATACTTGCAGGCGTTATTAAATGCAGTTACTGTCCATCAGAAACTCAGAGGCAACAATACCCTTGCCATCAGGCCAGCACTTGCTCTATCTCCAGGTAAGATACAATAATAATTTTCTTGACAACTACTCTGAAAGGTCCGATCTGTTACTGGGGTTAGTCTTTTTAGTTACTTTGGCATGGCCCCTTAAAATTTTTACCCTGTAAGGCCATAACTTTAGTTCTTTTACTTAGAAATGAGAGTACCACTGTTAATGTTTAGTAACTAGCAACTTTATGTATAGATTCAATTATTTCCTTTTTAAAATAGTAATAAGGCCAAGAGGTAAGGAACATAAAGTAAATCTTTTTATCCCAGAATTTACTTTACATAAACTTTAAAATAGTATTGTGTAAGTTGAAAATCTGATTATTAAAAGTATATTTATGAAAATTATTGTGCATAAATTTGAAATCCCAATATTTAGCCTTTTATGATTTTTGCATTAATTTGTTTTCTAAAGATTTGGAAAAAGCCATTAAGACTTGTACTAATATTCTGTTTCAGTCATCATGTGATGGAACCCCAAAGGGTTCATGTAGAGGTAACCCTCATGTGCTAGACAGGAGCATGTGACTTGAGAAGTTGGTCTCTCTGGCTTAATCAGCTGTTGGAATCAGCTCAGCATAAGCAGAAAGTGGCTTTTCTTGCAAAGTAACATCATGCATGCCTTGCTTCACTTATCATTGAATTCTCTGATTGCACTTGCCAAACCTAACTATAATCTTTCAAATATGTGTTATCGCTGGTGAAATAATAACATTGCCTTATGATCTCTAATAAAGCTTTGGAAAAGTAACGTGTTTGGCAGCAATTAGACATGCTACTCATGAAGATAACTTTTTGTCATTTGAGTAATGTTAACCCAAACAACATGGTTTTTGTTCTTCTTTTTGGTTGACTTTAGGGACTGAAAGGAGGACTTCAAGAATGTCCACTGTGCTTAAGCAGGTAGTGCCAGGACATTTGGATGTAAACCCATCCAATAGCTTTGCTCGAGGAGGTTAGTAAGACTGACTTTATAACTGAGCACTGGTAAGCTTGAAAGCAGAAAGCATTTTTCTAGATAGTAGCTACTTTCAAAAATCAACTAATCATGGTTTCAGATTTTTCTTATTCTTCTCTAATGAATGATCAAATTTAATACTAGTATGATAACAAAGGAGTTTTGCCTTATGGGACAATGAGTATAATCATTAATGATGTCTTACATATTGATGAGTATGGGAAAACTGCAAGTGAGAGAAGCATGTTTAAATAGTGAATCAGCCCTGGAAGATCCACCAAGTTCACAGGGGAGAAAGAAGTGATATCAGACCAAGGCTGTGCTTCCAAAACCTATTAATTTTGCTATTTTCTGAAATACTAGTTTGGAGGACAAGCTAAAATGCTACCTAGATTTCTCTTTCCCCCACTTCCTCTGGGCTATAGTGCTGGCATAAGGAAACAAGATTAGTAGTATTTCTACTCTGGTCTGCATAGGTTTTCTTCTCACTCCCATACAATACTGAATCTCCTTGAAAACATACCACTTGGATGATCTTGTGTCTGCTTGGATATTGTCAATTATGGAAAATTTACTTCTTCCCAAAAGTAATCCTTTGCATATGTTAGCAACTCTTTGTTAGGAAATTCTTCCTCTTACTAACCTAAAACTCTACCACCACATAACTTTCACATTTTGACCCTTGCTCAGGTGTGCTGGCATACACCTATACTCCTAGCACTTAGGAGGCTCCGACAAAAAGATCGTGGGTTTAAGGCCAGCTTCAGAAGTTAAAAACTAAGTTTAATTTCTGACACTTCAGATCTTTAGCTTGAAAAACTGTCCTCATATTCACCCTCTAATAATTTTAGTTAATTCTGTGTATTACTAGTGTATTTGATTGTAGTCTGCTCACTGCCCTCATCACTTTTTGGACTGTACAGAATCAAACCCAGCACTCTGGGAGTTCAGGCAACCTGAGATTGCCTTATGGGGAAAGCTCCATTATGAAGCTAAGCCTATTCTGAGATTAATATCATTTGAAACCCCTATGGCTGCTTCACATGTGCTGTTGTCCTTAATGTACTAGCTTAGGAGGTTGCTTTTTGGCATAAGTATGCTATTCGTTGCACCTACAAAATTTTACCCTTCTGAACATTTTGAATGTGGACTACTACTGTTTTGCTATTTGGATGTCAGTTCTGTCTGCCAGTATATTAACTGCCTTTACAGGCCCCCTTGTCATCCATAGAATTTATTACTGTTCCCAAATTTTGTTTGAAAAGCAAAAAAAAAAAACAAGTCATAGCTTAAGAAAAAGGCAAAATCATGTAAGCGTCCCTAAAGAAAGAGATTGGTCTTACTGGCTACTTGTTGTTACTAAAATTCATCTGGCCCATGTTTTTAAATCCATGCTGAGCTTTTAAATTTAAGATTTGCTAATCTTTTTATTACCTGTGTCACAAAGAATGTTATGGTTATTTTGACAGGACTATAAGACTCAAGACTTTTTCCTGCAAATCACAAGTAGTCCATTAATTATCTATTCTAGAACATGGTTTCAGAGTCTGCATATAAGCCCTGTTTTGCAAAATATACCTTTTTCCCTTTTGAAAATCATACATATTTCCTGGTAGTCATAGGATATATTTTACTCTGTCTTGGCTAAGTTTTCTGAAATTTCAGTATTTGCTAAGAGCTATCAACTTTCTTGAGTCATCTTTTTAATTAATTTGTCAGGCCATGAAATTGGTATGTTTAATTTCTTAAGGCTACCATAACAAAGTACCACAAATTGGGTGGTTTAAATAAAATTAGTCACACAGTTTTAGAGCAGCCGGAAGTCCAGGATCAAGGTTATCAGCAGGTGGTTCTGAGGGCTGTGAGGGAGATTCTGTTTGCTGACTATCTCCTACCTGCTGAAGGTGGTCTGAAAATCTTTGACATTCATTGCCTGGATCTCTGTCTTTGTTTTGCATGGCACTCTCCTCTTGTGTCTATCTTCAAATTTCTCCTTTTATAAGGATAGCAGTCATGTTTTATTGGGGACCTACTCTATTCCAGTGTGACTTCATCTTGACTGATTATATCTATCATAATGCTATTTTCAAATATAATCCCTTCTGAGATACTATGGGTTAGAATTTCAACACTGGAATTTGGGAGGACACAGTGCAACTCGTAACAGTCATAAATAGCTTTTTTTTTCCTGAGTTTTTAGAATTTAAGATACAAACTTCATTCTCATTTCTTTCTCAACAGATTTGAAGTGAAAGTATAGTGATTTTTCTCCTAAGACCCCTGGTATTCTATTGTCAAGAACGCTTGTCAGATTTTTATTCAAGGTTGCAATTTGTCCTTTTTGTGTATATGGTACTGGGTATTGAAGCTAGGACCCCTACATGGTAGAAAAGCACTTCACCCTTTAATTATAGCCATAGCCCTTCTTATTGCTTTATTTACTATCCAAAAGTTTATATGGGTTGTGTGTCTTTGACCCCAAATCCCAGGAACCAGATGTCTGTCACATTTTAGAGGTTTTTAGATTTTGGAATATTTAAATTGACTTTGACAGGTCCTTCATTCAAAATCTGAAACTTTTTAGTACATCATGTCAGCATTGAAAAGTTTCAGATTTTTCAGCATTTTGGATTTCAGGTTCTTAAAATAGAGATGCTCAATCTGTATTGAGACAGGGTCTCCCTTTAGTCCCAGCTGCCTGGAACTCACTCTGTAGACCAGGCTGGCCTCGAACTCACAGAGGATCCTCCTGAGTGCTGAGATTAAAGACGTGCGCCACCACGCCCGGCTCCCACATTTTTATAAGATAAATTTTCAGTTAAAAATTTATCATTTTGGTTTGTGGCCCATTTCATTTATATATAAAGGTACCCGTGCCCAAATACTTCGTGTCATGAAGTACTGTGGACTTAGTATGCATACTTACTGCAGCTTTTTTGCACCTAGCCAGTTGCATCTGAAGTGGGACAAAGAAATGCAACCTCATTCTTTTCCTTTCTGTCTTTACTCCCAAAGCCTCCCAGTCTTCCAGTGTCATTAAAGGCATGATGGCGCATGCCTTTAATCCCAGCATGCAGGCAGATCCTCTGTGAGTTCAAGGCCAGCCTGGTCTACAGAGTGAGTTCCAGGCAGCTGGAGCTACAGGGAGACCCTGTCTCAAAAAGACCAAAATAAATTAATTAATAATAAATAAAGATAAATAGATGAGAGAGAGATTAGATAGATTAGACAGACAGACAGACAGACAGACAGACAGACAGACAGACAGATAGATAGATAGATAGATAGATAGATAGATAGATAGATAGATAGATGGACTACACCACCAGGCGTGGAAGCAGAGGCAGGCGACTCTCTGTGAGATCGAAGCCAGCTTGGTCTATATAATGAGTTCCAGGTGGGCTGGGACTAGGGAGATCCTGTCACTAAGAAGGGAGGTGGTCTGGAGAGACAGTTCAGCAGTTAAGAGCACTGGCTGCTCTTGCAGAGGACCTGGGTTCGATTCCCAGTATCCACATGGCAGCTAACAACCTCCATAACTCCAGTTCCAGGAGGGTCCAACACTGTCTTCTGACCTCAGTGGGCATTGTAGGATACAGGTGCACTTACACACATGCAGGCATTACACTCATACACAATAAAAAAAATTTTTAAGTAAATAAAATATTTATTTTAAAAACACAAATAAGAGATATTGAAGTTTACTTCAACATGCTCTTTGAGTCTTAGAGCTGCTTTATGTGTCTCTCTTACGTATATTTCCTCCTCACACAGTAACAGCAAAGGACTAGGGCAGGTAAGTTTGGAAAGTCTCCAAAGATTCCCTATTTACATTACCATGGCTGGCAGACACACAAAGTAAGACTAAGTACAGACACTTCCACACCCTACAACTTCATCTCTTGGTCCCAATTAAAGGTCCAGGTGTCTTCATTCTTCTAGAGATCTGTGCACAGCTTGAGAAGTTCCTCCTTTACTCCATATGAAGTCTCCTGTTTCTTAATTTTTCTTCTTAATCTTTCATTCTCTTGTTTCATAATCTTTTCCTTGACATACAGTCTTAAATTTTGGTTCACTTCTTACGTTATTTCCATTGTATGCCTTTCCTGTTCTGATGAGCACGAGTTGAAATTAACCATCATCTTTTTTGAGATCATTTTGCATTCATCATGCAGGTTGATGAGCTCATAAGGAAGGGGATATATCCTTTTTTATACAAAAAACACTTAAGGGGCTGGAGAGATGACTCAGCAGTTAAGAGCACTGACTACTCTTGTAGAGGACCCGGGTTCAATTCCCAGTACCCACATGGCAGCCAACAACCATCTGTAACTCCAATTCTAGTGGAATCCGACACTCTCTTCTGACCCCAGGGACATTGCGTGACTTGGGTGCACTTACATACATGTAGACAGTATGCTCATACGCATAAAATAAAAATAATAAAATATTTAAACAAAACCACTTAACAAAAAATAAAAATATGAATAACAATTGTTTTTCATTTCAATTTTATCCTTGAGTAGCTACCTCCAGGATAGATACTTAAGACACTATGTAAGATTGTTACATTGCCAAGTTTACACAGCAAATAGCAATATAATTAGTGTTATACTGTTTCTTGTGTCTCATGCATTGAACCACATTGAAGGTAAGGTACAGAACCTCCAGATACAACCTAAGTAGCTCTTCTCAGATTGGTACAAACAAAGTAGAGGGAACAGTACTGTTTCTTAGATAACACTCCTGCTAGACTGTAATATGTGTCCCATGACATGAATGACCTGTATCATTTCTTCACTGACACGGTCCTCTTAGCCAATCTGTTCTGGACAGGTTCAGGGTATATGGTTTAAAACCCTGTCTCCAAAAGAAGTGTATTTCAGATACATTCAAATTAAAACTGCAGTTTCACTGCTCAGTTTGTGACATAAGTAAATTAACGAACTTTATTTTTCAGTGTCCTTATCTTTAAAATTGAGACTATTAAATAGTACTTATGGTAGGTATAAAGAATAAATGAAATAATATTTGTGAAATGCTTAGTAATTGGCTCTCAAGAGTTCAATAAATCATTGAGCTAGTGCCTAATAATTGCTTTAAAAGGAAGAAAATTGGGTCTAAAGAGCTGTCTTAGCAGTTAAGAGCACCAGCTGCTCTTGCAGAAGACCCAGGTCAATTCCCAGCACCCACAAGACTGCTAACAGTTGTCAGTAACTCCATTTCCAGGGGATCTGACACCCTCTTGGACCCCCACAGGCATTTCATGCACATGGTATACTTATATACATGCAAGCAAAACACTCATACACAAAAAATTAAAATGATTCAGAAAATATTTTTAAAGGAAGAAGATTTACATTTGCTTTTAGAGTGCATTGAACCTCACTATCTCAAGGCTAGAATGTAGAGGCATCTGCTTTAAATCTAGGCCAGTAACTTTCAGACTTTTCTGATCATAACAAGAAATACATTTTATATTTTCATGTATATAAACATTCATTTTATATCACAATTCAGATTATTATCTAAGCCACAATACAAAATATTCTGAAAAAATAACAAAAATAGTATACCAAGTGCAGCACACATAGTATTTTTTTATTGTAGCCTATAATCTGTTTTTAAAGACATACTAATTTAACGTATTGAAATGATTCACCAGCCACTGAGGGAATCCTGCAGTTTGGAAAAATTCACTGTAGACCTTCTGCTGGTGTTAAGTACTCTGGGTGTCTAGAACTCACTTGGGAAATCGAAGTCATTCGTAGCAGCACTGATGCAGTAGGTAATGACTTCCAGATGAGACTCCAGTTCTCAAAGCCCCCCTGGCCCCATAACAGTAATGACAGTTTTTTGTTTTGTTTTGTTTTGTTTGGTCTTTTTGAGACAGGGTCTCCCTGTAGCCCCAGCTGTCCTGGAACTCACTGTGTAGACCAGGTTGGCCTTGAACTCACAGAGATCCGCCTGCCTCTGCCTCCCGAGTGCTGGGATTAAAGGCATGCACCACCACACCCAGCTAGTAATGACAGTTTTATCATTGCTGATTTTCTGCTACGTGATACACACTAGGCAGTTTTTCACTAATGACCTTCTATTTTGGAATGTGTTTAATGTCTCTTGTTTAATACTATATTCACTTTTTTAGTGCAAATAATCAAGTTAAAAATATACAAGAGCTCATAGTGCATTCATTTACAAAAGACATTAATCAACATAGCAGTGTCTACAAATCTGGCTGTGAGCATGGATATAAGAACAATCATGATTAGGTCACTACTTTTGCAACACAATCCTATAAAGAATATGCAAAAAAAAATCACAAAAGCAGTGTGAACAGATTTTAAATAGAGCTCCCTACTCTCTGGACTAGTTAGGAATGTCTGTCAGAGGAGCTGACATTATACCTGCTTAAGGAAAAAGTAGAAATTTGCCAAGTAAAGCAGGGAGACTAGTGCACAGAGGACTGATGAGTCAGGGGATCGCTCAACCACTCAGGCTTCACTGGAGTCATCTTAGTGTCCTGCATTCCAATTGAAAAGCTCAAAAATTTGGCAGAATGAAAGCAGCTGGCCACACAGGAAGTAGTGTACCTTTGTTGTGCCCTCCTTGGTCCTTATTCTGTCTTTCAGCCAGAACTTACATAGCTCCTGCTCTCTGGCATCCTTTGGCTGTTAAAGCCATATGTACCCATCATTTTTTGCTTCCAAAGAATGAGATAGAAATGAAAAAAAGTCTAATGTTTTTTCTTTGACCATATTTTGAATCCATGTTTTATGCAATTTTGCATCATAAAGCTAATACTGCTATTGAAGTTTTGATTCTGAAATCATAATTATTTCCCTCAAATGATTTGAAGAGTTCCTTTGCTCAGAAAATTATTTAACTATTCACTGTTTTTATTACCAAGTTAAGTTTGCCATAGTCACAAAACACTATCTGTCTATTGGGGGAAAAAAACTATTACTCAAATTACAAAATATTGTCTCTAGTCCTGCCCATCATTTTGATTCAGATAAGAACTTTAAGAGAAGTCCTGTACTTCAGCCATCACAAGCTATCATATTGGTGGTATTAGGTGTTGTCACAGGATCGTGTTTGCTGCTTACAACTTTATTTTTTAAAAAGGAATATAATTTGTAAATGCAGAGAAGAGAAGGAAGGCAGTGTGGCAATGCTTAATGCTTTACTGCAGAAACATGCCCTTAGTTATTCCAAATGGTTGCTGATGCTTCATTGTTTCCTTACTCAAAGAAATGTGTTGGACAACACAGTGTTTACCAGTCTCCTTCATTATAAGGATCAGCATACGCCTGACATGGACATACATACCTCAAATTCCTTAATTTTTATTATATAAGCTTATTTCTGACTGACAGTCTTCAAAAGCTTATTCCATTTGGCATAATTTTTTTGGTGGCACCCGCTGCTGTGTTGTTCATTTCATTGTGCTTATAGTATTTATAAACAGCTGCTGAAAATTCATTTAATAGGCATTCAAGTCATCTTTTTTGTGATTGTGAAGCTTTCTGTTTGTTAATTAAAGCCCCTTGTATTTACATTTTCTTCCTATGTTAACTTAATCTTAAAAACTAAACATTCTTCTCTTACTCATTTGCTCTGATGTTTACTGCTATATACATTTCATTTCTCTTGTCTCTAACCTTACCTCCCAGTGCATGGGTACAGAGATAAATGTTTCACTCAGTCAAATCCCAAATCTCCAGCTAAGGAAACAGTCTGTAATCAAGGTACTGTATTATTGTCCCAATGTGTCACCTTTTAAACCATCTTCATGTGAAAGTAAATGTTACAAGTGATTTTTCATGTTTGTCAAATTATATCCTTTATTCTCATCTACATTGTGACTTTCCTATGATTCCATTTAAAAACATTTTCCATAATGTCTATGGAAAGCATATAGATTACATAGAACAGTACCTTCATGTTAAGCAGAAATCACCTACCATACCCTTTCTTGAAAACTGGTCTATTAGCTCCATAAATGCTGATAGAGAGAAGGTGATATAACAATACAGTGGAGACATCTAGTCATTTAAAAACCTGACTTGATGTATCACTAGAAAAAGATTAAAGCTTCTGAAACAGCCTTTCCAGATGTACACAAAAAGAAACAACTCCAGAGTGGTCCTCCACCCTGTTCTCTCATCATGGAGCTGAACTCCATGTTCACCAGGCCTGTATGAGAGGCTTTGCTGCTTTGAAGGTGCCACAGTGCCAGTCAGATTTGAGAATGAGTGTGTGCCTGTTAAACATTGAATCATCTCATGCACAGAAACTTTTGATGTTTCTAATTAATATAAATTAAGTCAGCTTACGTGATAAACCTCTTCTGTTTAGCATGGACTTTCTCTTCTTGAAAGATGTCTGCTTCTGACTATACATTTTAAATACTCCTAAAATTAAATGAAATGCACATTACTAAATTTATAATTTCTCACTACTTATGGATACTGGAAAAACTGTAATACAATTTTTACTTGTTTAAAATTACATAATTTTCCTGGATGTGGTGGGCACATGCTTTTAATCCTAGCACCTGGGAAGCAGAGGTGGGTGGATCTCTGTGACATCAAGGCCAGCCTGGTCTACATAGTGAGTTCTCAGCCAGCCAGTGCTACATAGTGAAACCATGTCTCAAAAAAATTAAAATTAAAATTAAAAATTACATTATTTTGATCTAACTTGTAATACAAATATAAGTTCTATATCCAGCCTCTGGTTTTAGTAGATTAGTAAGTTTCTAGTTTATCTTATAGTCTAGATTTCTTGTTGAAGTGACTGAGCAGAAGTACATTCATTCCCTCTGGGTGAAACTCTAAGAGACTGAGTCACTCTCTTCTCCTTCCTGGGCTTCCTGTTCTCCTGCCCACAGTGTTTCCAGTGTCAGCACACTATTTCTACTTAGGATCTTGTATTTACTTTTGAATAATGAATTTATGACAGCATTATGAAATGGAACCTAAATGATTTCTTAAATTCTTCTGAATCTGTGTGATTTTAAAATACTATATTCAATGTTTATATTGCAAAAAATAAATGGCAAATGATCAGTATGACCCATGACTTAGATTGATTAACTGCTATTACCCCTAAAACTAGCTCTAGAGCATTCATTTTATTCAATGGCATTCCCACATTATCTCACTCTATTTTTTTGGCTTTTGTAAAGGCGTATGGGCAAGTCTTCGTTCCAGCACTCGCTTGATCAGCTCTCCAACATCCTTCATTGATGTTGGTGCACGGCTGGCAGGCAAGGATCACTCAACCTCCTTCAGTAACAGCGCTTATCTACAAAACCAGCTCTTGAAAAGACAAGCGGCCCTTTATATATTTGGTGAAAAGTCACAGCTAAGGGTAAGATTTTTTTTTTCTGTCACTTAGAAAATATGTGGAAACACAAAGGCAACTTATAAAACCTGCCACAAACTAACTTTACCAGAAGTTTTTTATAGCATGATTCTTAACCTAGACTTAATAATCTCAAAAAATATTTATATTGCCAGGTGTGGTGGCACACGCCTTTAATCCCAGCACTGGGAGGCAGAGGCAGGCAGATCTCTGTGAGTTCAAGGCCAGCCTGGTCTACATAGTGAGTTTCAGGATAGCTGGGGCTACAGAGAGACCCTGTCTCAAAAAGACCAAAAAAAAAAAAAAATTTGTATTTAGCTCAAAACCAGGCATGGTGGTACATGCCTGGATTTTAGTACTCAGAAGGAAGAGAACAGAGGATCAGGAATTCAAGGCCAGCTTCAGCTATGAGAACCTTGTCTCAAGAAAACAAAAAAGAGGCTAAAAAGATAACTCAGTAAAGTACTTGGCCACACAAGCATGAGGACTTGAGTTTAGTGCCCAGGACCCACATGAAAAACTGGTTGTGGAGGTGCACACTTGTTATTACAGTACTGGGGAGGCAAGACGGAATCCCTGGCACTCACTGGCCAGCGAGCCCAACTTAAACAGTGAGCCTCAGATTCCAGTGAGACTCTGAACAAACAGGTATATGGGATGGAGAGATGGCTCCAGCAGTTAAAACACTTACCATGCAAGCATGAGGACCTTGGATCCCCAGAAATCTACTTATATGTCAGGTGGGTGACCTGCCTGTAATTCCAGCCTTTGGCAAGGCAGGATCCCTAGAGCAAACTGGCTTGCAAGACTAGCCATATCAGGCATCTCTGGGTTTGACTGAGAGACCCTGCCTGGACAAATAAGGTGAAAGAGCAGTTGAGAATGAGTCCTAACATCAACCTGGGGCCTCCACATGCATACTCTACGTACACATGCATGCACACCCACACACAAAAACATGCATACACCATACACACATGGAAAATAGAAAAGGGGGAGGTGGAACCTCTGACCTCCACACACACCCAAACATACTTGCATGCATACTCCCCACACATTAACGTGCACACACAAAAAAAATTTTTGTTTTTTAAATGAGCTGTTCATATTTATGCATACATATATATGCATATGTATCTATGTATATATATTTATGGATGGCTGGATGTGTGTGTATTACATTACCCATGAAGATAAGTATTTATTTAAACTTCTGAAAATCAACATAAGTATTAGGGATATTAGGAAGTATAAATATAGATACAGCTTATTTAGACTGTATTTCCACTGTCTTCATTCAGTTTCCACAGGGATCTGTGCTGTATAAAAATAATTGGGTTTTATTCTTGTAAACTAATACAGAAGGCTACAGAAAGTAGAGAAAAGATGAAAAAGAATTGGATTACGATACTGCATATGGTGACCAGGGAAGGATGAAGCCAGGTTCTCTAATACTTTTCAAAACATGTTATGAGATGGATCGGATAATTCAAAATATCAGATGCTAATTAATTTTAGACTATTATTATGCTAAAGAACGTCATTGTATAAGATCTCATAAATTGGGGGGCTGGAGAGATGGCTCAGCAGTTAAGAGCACTGGTTGTTCTTGCAGAAGACCTGGGCTCGAATCTCAGCCCCCACATGGCAGCTAACAACTGTCTGTAACTCCAGTTCCAGGGGATCCAACAGCCTCTTCTGTCCTCTGCAGGCATTGCATGACACAGCTGCTCTTATCTACATGCAGGCAATACACGCATACACATAAAATAAAAATTAATTTTAAAAAAAGATCTCATAAATCGTTTTTACACACAAAAAAAAAAGATATCAAAAAGCCAGGCGTGGTAGCGCACGTCTGTAGTCCCAGCACTTGGGAGGCAGAGGCAGGCGGATCTCTGTGAGTTCAAGGCCAGCCTGGTCTACATAATGAGTTCCAGGCCAGCTGGTGCCGCAGGGAGACCCTGTCTCATAAAGAACAGTAATTTCTTAAGTTCAATGTTTTCCACATCGTACATTAAAAAACAACTGTGCCAGTGAATTGGCTCAGTGGGTAAAGGGACTTGCCATTAAGTCAGATGACCTAAGATTGCTACCCAGAACCCACATGGCTCCTACTCCCGACCTCCGCACTCATATACACACACATAAGATGAATAAGTGCTTTTTTTTTCTTTTTTTGGCCTTTTTGAGACAGGGTCTCCCTGTAGCCCCAGCTGTCCTGGAACTCACTTTGTAGACCAGGCTGGCCTTGAACTCACAGAGATCCACGTGCCTCTTGCCTCCCAAGTGCTGGGATTAAAGACGTGAGCCACCACACCCGGCTATAAGTGCATTTTAAAAAATTTGTTTTTAATGTGTATTCATGTATTGCCTACGTGTAAGTAAGTGCACCTGTGTCGTGTAATGCCCATGGAGGTCAGAAGAGGCTGTCAGATTCCCTGGAACTGGAGTTATGGACAGTTAGCTGCCATGTGGGTACTGGGATTCGAACCCGGGTCTCTGCAAGAACAGCCAGTGTTCTTAACCATTGACCTATCTGTCCAGCCCCCATAAGTACATTTTTTAATCTAAAAAAAAAAAATGTTATTTCTGTCAGGAAATTGAAGCATTTGTTAATTCAGAAATCTGAAAGTTCAGCCCTGAGCAATCTAGACAGACCTTTGGCTGAACCACAGAGTAGAGGCTATGTGCAAGCTGCTCTCAGCAGGAGCCCGGATGCTCTGCCCTTGAGATGCCAGTAACTGAGTCATCTCTGCTGTAACAGGCTGGAGGGCTAACTTTTCCTACTACCTAGATAGTTGTAATCACCAGTCACTAACCTCTGTACGGTGGAAGGTAAAAAACCTCTAGGTAATGCTGTTCTTTAAATCTGCATGCATGTCTTCTGATAAAGCAGCTAATTGTATATCTAGAAAAACAGAACCCTTATGAACAGCAATCCAGGGTAGCCTGCACAACTTTCTTGACACCAGTGTCCTTTCCAGAACTTGGGCCTTCCATTCTTTTGCACATTTACATGACCTGAGTCACTTTCTAATGTTTGACTCCCTGAATGCTCACCTCTGCTGTTCTCTTTCTGCATGGGATCTCAGAGCATCTATGGGAGCATGTATATTTGAATGAGAAAGGCAGACTACTTAGGACCTATTCTTTCTTGCTCCCCTCCCTTCCTCCTTCCCTTTTTCTTCCTTCCTGTGTGTCTTTTATCAATAAGTCTTATATTTAAAAAACATAATTCTGGGTCTGGAGAGATGGCTCAGTGGTAAAGAACACTGGCTGCTCTTGCAGAGGACCCAGGTTCAATTTCCAGCACCCACTTGGTAACTGACCATCTGTAGCTCCTGTTCCAGGGAATCCAATGCCCTCTTCTGACCTCTTTGGGCGTTGCATGACATGGGTGCACTTACATACACGCAGGCAATACACTCATACACATAAAATAAAAATGAAATATTTTTTAAAACATAATTCTACCACACATAAGGCTGTTAGGATTTTTACACATTGCATATTAATTTTCATTACCTGTGTGTGTGTGTGTGTGTGTGTGTGTGTGTCATACTGCTCTTATCTGTCTGAAGTGTTCCACATTCTAGCTATCACTATACTGTCCAGATTCAACTGCATACCTTTGTCTTCCAGCAAAGGAAGCGAAAAGGAAAGCCAGTGACGGTTACTTATTCCAAAAATAACCTTATAAATGCCTTTATCTTTTAAAATTCATAATTATTAGCAGTAACAAATTTCTTATAACCCAATGGCACATCTCAACACTGCTCAATATCTCCCGGTTTAGGCTGGCATTCCTAACTCACAGATAGTTAGGAAATAATAAACAATCTGTTTTTCTTGAAACTATCTTTTCTCTACTATTTTTTTTCTAATAGAAGTGAACTAGTGTAGGCTCCTGATCTGAAGCCCTAACTGACATCATGTTTCCATGTTGTATAATAGTTTTCATAATCACTTCAGTCACTCTTTAGCATCTAATATGGTTGGGTATTTAGGTTTCTTTTTTTTCTATATATAAAATTATAATTACATTTATGAAAATTTAGGAGGTATTTTGTTACCTTTTTAAAAAGATTTGTTTAAAAGATTGTGTGTGTGTGTGTGTGTATATGTATGTGTGTGTTCCCATGTCCCCATGCATGCATGCGTGCACATGCAGTTACCTGTGAAGACCAGAAGAGGGCATCAGATCCTCTGGAGCTGAAGTACAGGTGGTTGTGAGCCACGTGACATGGGTGCTGGGAACCAACCTCCAGTCCTGTGCAAAAGCAGGAAGCACTCTTAAGCACTGATCCATGTCTCCAGGCCCTCAATACTTTTTATTGAGATAAAATTTAGTAGAATTTTCCCCTATATTTTAAATTTCATCAGAATAGTTTTGTTTTTTAATATATATGAATGAGTGTTTTGCCTGTGTGTATGTAAGTGAACCATGTTGTGCAATGCCTATGGAGGTCAGAAGAGGGCATTGAATCCCCTGGAATTAGCATTATGGACAGCTGTTAGCCACCGTGTGGGTGCTAGGAATCAAACCCTGGTCCTCTACAAGAGCAGCCAGTACTCTTAACCACTGACCCATCTCTCCAGCCCCAGAATAGCTTTGTAAAAATTCGTTTGGGGGCTGTACCCAATTTTAATTCCTAGCACCCATGTCACATGGTGGACAGCTACCTGTAACTACAGTTCCAGGGCATCTGACACCCTCTTGTGATCTCAGTATGCTCATGTGCACACAGACACACATATATATGTACACATAATTAAAAATGAAATTTTAATTGAATTTTAATTTTTTTAGACAGGGTCTTGCTACAGGATAGGTAGCTCAGGCTGGCCTCAGGATCCTTCTACATCAGATTCTTAAGTGCTGGCATTACAAGCATGGTCCACCATGCCTGGCTAAAAATGAAATTATTAGTACAAAAAACCTTTTATTTTTAATTTTATTTATTTTTATTTTATGTGTATGAGTGTTATGTTATGCCTGCATGTTTGTAAGTGAACCTGTGTTGGGCAGTGCCTGTGGAAGTCAGACGAAGGCCTTGGGATTCCCTGGAACTGGAGTTACAGACAGTTGTTAGCAACCATGTAGGTGCTGGGATTTGAACCCAGGTCCTCTGCAAGAGCATCCAGTACTTTTAACTGCTGAACAATATCTCCAGCCCCAGAAACTTTTTTTTATAATGCATATTAGAAATGCCATTTTTAAATTGGGATGTAGCTCAGCGTTAGAGTATTTGCCTACATGTATAAGGAACCAGTGTGGTGGCACATGGCTATAATTCTACACTTGGGAGGCTGAAGTATGAGCATCTTGAGTTCAAAGCCAGCGTGAACGACATAGTAAGACTGGATCTCAAACAAACTTAAGATTATTTTTTTAATTTTTATTTTTTTATTTTATGTGTATGCATGTATTGCCTGCATGTAGGTAAGTGAACCACAAATGTATCTGCAGGTATATGTGCCTTTGGAGGCCAGAAGATGTCAGCCTCAGGTGTACTCTTCAGGATGCTGTCCACCTCCTTTGAGACAGGGCCTCACAATGGTCTGGAGTTCACCAATTAGGCAAGACTGGCTGGCCAGTGAGCTCCAGAGATGCACCTGACTCTACCTTCCAGGTGCTGAGATTTCAAGCACATGCCATCACACCCAGCATTTTTACATGGGTTCTGTGAATCAAACTCAGGCCCTCATGCTTGCAAGGCAAGCACTTTACCAACTGAGCCATTCCTGAAGCCCTTCTTTAATAAAAAAAAAAAACAAAAAAACTTTGCAGCACTCAGCCAAGTCTTATTGAAAGCAGAAGCACACATACTTACATATACAGCAAGGCAAACAGATAGACCCCCTCATGGGAAGGGGATCCAGAATCCTTTCTTTTAAATTTTTAATAGGACTTTTACAACTAAAATAATCAATATTAAACATTAAAGGGACCAAATGTTTATGTCCTTGTGGTAGTTTTGTTTGTTTTTCAGTTGTAAAAATAACAAAATTTACCATCCTAACCACTTCAAGTACATAATTTAATATTAAATACATTCACATTGTCGTGCAGCTAATCTCCAGAATACAACTTTATCCTTTGAAAAGCATATGATCCGCCAGGCGTGGTGGTGCATGCTTTTAATCTCAGAACTTGGGAGGCTGAGGCAGGCTCATCTCTATGAGATCAAGGCCAGCCTGTTCAGGGCTGGAGAGATGGCTCAGCAATTAAGAACACTGGCTGTTCTTGCAGAAGACCCGGGTTTGAATCCCAGCACCCACATGGCTCGAGGGCACTGCATGACACAGGTACATTTACCTATATGCAGGCAATACACACATACACATAAAATAAAAATAAATAAAAATTTTTTAAAAATTAAAAAAAAAAAATAAGGCCAGCTTGTTGTCCATAGCAAGTTACAGGACAACTGTGTCTACAGGGAGACCTATCTCAAAAAAGACAAAAAAAAAGAAAAAGCAGATGAAGAGAATGAATGAGAAACTGAGAAAATCCATTCACTCTTTGGCATGAGAAGTTAGAGGACTTTTAAATCTTCAGAACAAGGCAACCAGATTATCTAAAATACATTCCTAGGCCAGTAGCATTCTTTAAATTGTAGAGCTAAGAATAAACCTCATTTTATAACAGTGCTTGGAAGTATGCATGAAGCCCTGGGTTTGATCCCCCTACCATGTAAACTGGCCATGGTAGCACACACACCTATAATCCCAGCACTTAATAGGTAGAGGCGAGAAGATCAGAGGTTCAAGATCATCCATAGCTACATAGCTAGTTTGAGGCCAGCCTGGGATACATGAAATTCTTTCTTTAAAAAACATTAAAAATGCAATAGTTCATACCTCAAAATACATTCCAAGTAAATTAAAAGACTTGAGTGGAAGGGTACTCAGATAAACTAGGAGTGACACATGCTTCATCCTAAGTGAGAAAGTCACAAAGCAAGGAGTCTAGAAGACTCGCATTACTTTAGGTAAATTTTAGTGACTTAAAAATAAACATAATGAGGTCATGTTTTCTTTCTCAAAGTTTCTTTTTTGTATTTTTATAATGAATATGTTTAATTTGCAAAATAAGAAACAAATAGAGCCAGGCATGGAGGCATACACCTTTAATTCCAGGTAGAGGCAGGTGGATCTCTGTGAGATCAAGGAGCCTGGTCTACATAGTGAGTTCCAGGCCAGCTAGGGCTACAGAGAGACCCTGTCTCAAAAAAAGCCAAAAAGAAAAGAAAGGAAAAGAAACAAATATGTTTATATTTACAGAACCCCATCAGTGTATACTACTTTTCAATTAATGAGGGGACTTTTACACTGTTGGATTAACTGTGCTGTCTGTGTGCCATTGATTCTCCACCTGTAGGTTCATGGCATTAGAAATGACCTGTATTGTGTGTATGCTGCATCTAGTTCAGCCTACCAGTACCTTTTAAGTTCTCAGAACGACAACATTCCTCAGCTAAGTGATCTCCTTCTAGAAAGGACTAGACTTGCCTTGTGAGGCAACCACTTGAGCTTCCTGCACTCCTGACAGGAACCACACAGGACTGACTTGTTAATCCATTGCAGCCTTTGCGGCTGACTGTTTATTCTTAGGCATTGCCCTGTTGAAAGCTCTGGGTTTTTTGTTTTGTTTTGTTTTGTTTTTTTTTTTTTGGTCTTTTTGAGAGAGGGTCTCCCTATAGCCCCAACTGGCCTAGAACTCACAAAGATCCACCTGCCTCTGCCTCCCAAGTGCTGGGATTAAAGGCATGTGCCACCACACCCAGCTGAAAGCTCTGTTCTTTATCTGCCTAATTCTCTGCATCTTTATCCCTAGAGCTTCAAGGTAGAGTTTGCTTTAAATTGTGAGTTTGTTCCTGTTGAATTTCATGAAATCCGACAAGTAAAAGCCAGTTTTAAGAAGCTGATGAGGGCTTGTATCCCAAGCACCATCCCTACGGACTCAGACGTGACATTCCTGAAGGCCCTGGGAGACTCTGAGTGGTTCCCACAGGTAATGTTGGAGAAAACTTGTCCTATAACTCAAAGCCCCAAGTAGATGCACAGAACTAACAGAACCAAAACCTTTTCTTTCCCTCCACTCCATATCATTCTCTTTTGTTGTGTGTCCTCCGTCAAGAAACAGCAGCTTGTAAGCAGAGAAAAGGGGGGATTCTTGGATCACTTGGGTTTGATCGCTGTATAATTGAAAGTGCAAAGTTTTGCAGAAATTTTTTTTAATGTGCAGCAAACTCAATTACATGTATTTACAGAGTACCTTGTCTGCTGTCAAAATAATGAGGATCTAGGATGAAAAATTACCTCTGCATGATTCCACATTTACTTCTGCCTCTTCTGTGACTCTAGATTTTAAATTCACCCACCCCCGCCCCCACCAACCACCAGAGACACATTAGATGTCTAAACCTACCAAAGATCTGCAAAAACTAGGTACCATCATTCAGCTAAGTCACCCTGTGGATATTTCTAATTGAATTTTATTGAGAAATTAAGGGGAAAGTGGTTTTCCAGCACACATGTAACCACATTTCTTCTAAACCACAAAAAGAAAGGTATTTATGCATACATTTTAGACACTAACTCCAACCTGGCAAAGAGCAGCATCTCTACAACATAACCCTCCCCTGTGTATTCAGGCCCTGATGCTATGTTCATATTCCTTCCTACCCTGCAGGAAGTTCTAGTTCCTATTTTCTAGTTTCACAGTTTCTCTCCAAGCATCCTGCCTTCCTCTTCCTCCCAAGTGCTAGAGATCAAATGTAGGACATTGTGTATACTAAGCAGTACTCTATGAGTTACATTCTCCAGCCCTGCATCTTGTTCTCTTGAGCGAAAAGAATTATTTCCCATGGTACTTTGGACTAAATGGTAAAATCACCAAAAAATGATATCATTACTCAGGACAGTGAGTTTTGTCAGGGTACCTAAACTATAGACAAAGACATCTAGTTGGTCACAAACGTATCAGGATATATTCATCACTCTCAAGGTAGTTTAGAATGCTCTTGAATATCCACAAAAGAAGCTAACTGATACTTCGTTCTGTCCCTAAACTATGAACTTCAGGCACAGATTGCCCTCACTGCCCAACTCCTATCTGCATTTCTGATAGATTCTTCTTTTCCTTGTTGGAAAATGAACCTGGCTCAGAAATTAACAGATAAGGGTAGCTAATACTATTACCCCCTTGTATTAACATCATTTTAAAAGTAAACTGTTGAAACAAAAGCTAACCCCAAGAGAATTCAGGCTTATCAATGCCTGTGCAGTAGGAAGGGCAGTTGAGCAGACTTTTCTGTACCTTGCTGCTATACTTAAAATAGCCCAGTTCTGTTCAAAGTTAGCTTTACATTGCAAATTATGTCGTGTGATATTCAAATATTTTTAAACCTAGCATCTTAGACATTTGTTTTTGAAATCCATACTGTTTGTGCTCCCTAGTTATTCAATATGGATTTTGAACCACTTGGCCTGGCTTAAAAAGTTGAGCACAAATGTATATTTTCTTCCAGAGTAATACACAGTGTAAACAAATAAGAGCATCTTTTTTTTTTTTTTGGTCTTGTCTTTTTTGAAGCAAGGTCTCCCTGTAGCCCCAGCTGTCCTGGAACTCACTATGAAGACCAGACTGGCCTTGAACTCACAGAGGTCCACCTGCCTCTGCCTCTGCCTCCCAAGTGCTGGGACTACAGGCGTGCACCACCATGCCCGGCAAGAGCATCTTTTTAAAAATATTTTATTATTTTTATTTTATGTGTATGAGTGTATTGTCTGCATGTATGTGAGTGCACCCATGTCATGCAATGCTACAGCGGTCAGAAGAGGGCTTCAGATTCCCCTGGAACTGGAGTTCAGGATGGTTCATAGCCGCCATGTGGGTGCTGGGAATCGAACCCAGGTCCTCTGCAAGAGCAGTCAGTGCTCTTAACTGCTGAGCCATCTCTCCAGCCCCAAGAGCATCCTTTTTTGAACATATAATTCACTTACTATAAATTCATCCTTTTATACAGCAAAGTATTTTATAGTATTTCCCTAATGTTACATAACCATCACACTAGTGCCAGAAAATGTGGAGCATCTAAAATGGAAATGGTTGTATCATGGACAAACAAATCTGAAGTCCAATAACTCTGTTCAGAAGGTCAATTAGAATCTCAGTCTTAGCTGGGTGTAGTGGTGCATGCCTTTAATCCCAGCAGGCAAACACAGGTGGATCTCTGTGGATTTGAGGCCAGCCTGGTCTACATAGATAGTGAGTTCCAGGCCAGCTGGGGCTACAGAGAGACCCTGTCTCCAAAAAAAAAAAATCTCAGTCTCTTCATAGAATTAGAGATTTTTCTACTTTTGAAAAATTGGAGACTACCAGAGAGTGCGGAGTTTTGGCCTCTCTCTGACAGAGGGGCTGAGAATAGCAGGGGCCTGCCTGAGAGCCCCTGGATCCTGCCTCCACATGGTGGTGAGCTTCCCCTAATTTTGCCGTACCCATCCCCCTACCTGGGATTTCATGAGCCCCCCCCCAAGGCCCCAGGGCAAATCTGGCTTCGGTAGGCTAAGGCTGAGATCCTAGCAGACAACCTGAGAGGGTGAACTGCCTGAGAGTGCCCAGATCCTGCCTCCACGTGGTGAAGGAAGCCTGAGTGTACCTGACTGGAACCTGAATTGGGCTTCTGTGGGTACCCCTGAATAGCTGATCTGAAGCCATCAGTTCCCTCCAAATTAAACCTGAGAGAACCTGAACCCTGTACCAACCAGCTTTACATAATGAATAAAGGATCTAGGCACCCGGATAATACAAACAGAAGCATACTTCAACTTAATTCTCATATCAGAATCACAAACAACAACAAAAAAATTCACATGCCAAAATCACAATGAAAGAATAATAAAATGGAAAGCCAAAATACTATGTGCCCTCCAAACTCCACCAGTCCTGTAGAAGAGTTCTACAAGGAGAACCCACTAGAGATAACTCAGAACACATAACAGTCATAAACATGATCAAGGAATTCAATGAATTTAAAGAACACTCAAACAAACAAATCAAAGAACTGAAAGAAAATAGGGATAAACTTCTGAATGACTTCACAAAAGAGATAGAAACAGTGAAAAAAAACTCAGGCAGAAATGAAGAAGGAAGTGTAAAACTCAATAAGCCAACTTGAAACAACAGGGGAAAGCCTCACCTCTAGAATGAATGAAATGGAAAACACAATATTGACACTGGAGGATAAAGTTGAAGAATTGGACCACTCAAGCAAAGATTATGGAAAATTTGAAAAAACCCAGGAATGGACTATGCAAGAGATGTTGGACACCATGAAAAGACCAAATCTACAGATCATAAAAATAAAGGAAGAAGAAGGATTTCAGGTTAATGGTGTTGACTGAAGACATGCCCATACAAATACAAGAAGCACATAGAACACCAAACAGACAGGACCAGAAAAGAAACTCTCCACAGCACATTACAGTAAAAACACTAAACGTACAAAACAAAGAGACAATACTGAAAGCTGCAAAAGAGAAACAAATCACATGTAAAGGAAAACCCATTAAGATTGCAACTGACTTTTCAGTGCAAACTATGAAAGCCAGAAGAACCTGGACCAAAGTATTCCCAGATTTAAATGACCACAGATGCCAACCCAGACTTTGCACAGAAAAAAAAATGTCTATTATATTCAAAGGGGAAATAAAAATCTTCCACTATATAAATTCACAGAAAGAATACATGTCCACAAAACCAGCCCTTCAAAGAATATTTGAAGCAATACAGAGAGCAGACAGAGAAGCAACTATACCCCAGGGGCAACAAAAGAAAATAAATGTAAAATCTAGGAAACACAAAATTAGAGAACACAAACAGCAATCAAAATGATGGGAGCCAATACACATCTTTCAATAAAAACCTTAAGTATCAATGGACTGAACTCCCCAGTCAAAAGACACAGGCTAAGTGAATGGATTAAGAAACAAAATCCATCTCTTTGCTGTCTGCAAGAAACCCATCTCACCTTCAAGGACAGGCACTATCTTAAGGTAAAAGGATGGAAAAGAATATTCCAAGCAAATGGCAGTAAGAAACAAGCAGGGGTTGCAATTCTAACATCTGACAAAATAGACTTCAAAGTAAAACTAATCAGAAGAGATAAAGAGGGTCACTTCATTCTGACCAAAGGAACAGTTAACCAGGAAGAAATTACAGTCTTTAACATATATGCACCAAACTCTGGGGGACCCAAATTCATAAAAACAACACTACAGGGCTTTAGGACACAGATCAACCCCAACTCAGTAATAGTAGGGGACTTCAACACTCCCCTGTCTCCATTAGACAGGTCAACTGGACAAAGAATAAACACATCTAAATTAAATGGTACTGTACATCAAATGGACCTAACAGACATCTTTCAAATATTCCACCCAAGCACCAAAGAATATACTTTCTACTCAGCACCCCATGGAACTTTTTCAAAAATTGATCACATACTGGGCCACAAAACAAACCTCAACAAATACAAAAAAAATGAAATAATCCCATGCATTCTATTATACCATAATGTAATAAAGCTCAAAATCAACACTTGGACGAAGCCTTAATCACTACACGAACTCATGGTGATTGAACAACACACTCCTAAACAATGAGTGAGTCAAAGGAGAAATTAAGAGAGAAATAAAAGAATTCCTGGAATTCAACAGAAAGGACAATACAACACAACACAACCTCTGGGACACTTTAAAAGCAGTCCTAAGAGGGAAGTTTATAGCTCTAAGTGCCTACATTAAAAAATTAGGAAGAGCCCAAATAAATGACCTAACACTGCAACTCAAGACCCTGGAAAGGCAAGAACAAATGAAACCCAAACCCAGCAGAAGAGAAGAAATAACAAAACTCAGATCAGAAATTAAAGAAATAGAAGCAAAGAAAACAATACAAAGAATCAATGAATGTAAGAGTTGGTTCTTTGAAAATCTAAACAAGATAGACTC